TTCGCAGCCTTTTATAGACGCGCCGCACGACGGTGGCGCCACCACAGGAAGTTACACCTAACACGGCCTCTCCTGACGGAGCATCGTCCCCGATGCTTTCTGGTCACGGCGCGTCGTCTGGTCCGACTGCTAATCTTATGCGCTCTGTCCAGGCTGAAAGTATTCTCAGGGCTATTGCTCGGAGACGAGTCAACAGTGACTCTTCACAACCTGTGAACCATAAGTTAGTGGTAAGCATTTTATTTTTGGAAGTAGGATCACGTTGCCTCACAAGGACTAATTTAAATCTGATCTAAGCTTGTATACATAGAAGCCACACAAAGCTTTATACGAGAGGTAACCTATAACACACTTTACGCTACACAGAGCCTTACACGAGATGTATCTTATAACACACTCGATGCTGCACAAAGCCTTACACGAGGTGTACCTTATAACACACTCGATGCTGCACAAAGCCTTACACGAGGTGTATCTTATAACACACTCGATGCTGCACAAAGCCTTACACGAGGTGTATCTTATAACACACTCGATGCTGCACAAAGCCTTACACGAGGTGTATCTTATAACACACTCGATGCTGCACAAAGCCTTACACGAGGTGTATCTTATAACACACTCGATGCTGCACAAAGCCTTATACGAGGTGTATCCTTTAGCACCCTCGATGCTGCACTAAGCCTTATGCGTGGTGCTACCTATAACACACTCGACGCTGCACAAAGCCTTACACGAGGTGTATCCTATAACACGCTCGATGCTGCACAAAGCCTTATACGAGGTGTATCCTATAGCACCCTCGATGCTGCACAAAGCCTTATATGAGGTGCTTACCTATTACACACTCGACGCTGCACAAAGCCTTACACGAGGTGTATCCTATAACACACTCGATGCTGCACAAAGCCTTACACGAGGTGTTACCTAAATACCTTACGATAAAATTTATCTCAAAAATACAAATTACATTAGAAAAACTCAAATTCCTTTTTGACTCTACTCTATTTTGACTCTGTATAGGTTAGAACAATAGAGAAAGCATTTGAGTGTACGAGAATATATTTGTATTCGTTACATTTTATGTACTGCATCATAAGGTATTGAAAGTATAGTGGACCTGGACATTGGGTGGAGAGGAACGTGATATAAAGTATAAGGTAACATGTTTACACATTAAACAAACAATTCCGTGCTCTATAGTATTTCTTTACAAGATGGACCCTACTTTGAAACCGTCAACTAATTTGAACTCGACAACGTTTCCACGTCAATATGGTCAACACGTAGTCTTTAGAAATATAACAATAATCGCGACTTTTTCCTATAGAGATATGTTAATAATTATTTTCTTTAAGATTTATTTTCTTTATATATCGCAAACTATTCAACTGCCCTTGTACAAGTAGTTTCATCATCAGCAGCATATGCTACTACGATTCGTGAGGTTATTAAAAGGATTTCGATGCGTGAGATATGAACTAACCTTTACGATATTCAAACGTCAAATCACGATCCTGTAGGCATTCACAGCGCATTGCACATTCACCAGCGCACTACCCTAGGCAAGAGATCCTCTTATAATTTTCAGGGCGTTGCAGTTAGTTACTACCCTAAAATGTTTTCCGATGAGATGACGATGTTGCAATGCCTTGACAACAGCAAGTATCTCGAGCTCAGGAGTAGTACCTTGGATCTGCACATATTGTAAAGCTACTGCGTGTATGCGTCCGTCTTTTCCTATTTGAATTAGTACCGTAACCTAGTGCACTTGCATCCGTATGGACGTCCACGACGACTTGTATCCAAATGTCCGTAAATAGTCAAAGATAAGCAACGCGGATTGACTAGCCAATATAGAGATGATCTCATCTCTCTAGTTTCTATTCTTTTCCCCGTTAAAATTTCAAGAGGCGATTTGGGTGTATCACGGGATATACCGAATAAGATAGCTGACCAGTATCACTAAATAATATCAACTAAATATTGCACAAACCATGTCAGCTCTCCTTAAATGATATTGTTTGCATTTGATCAGTTCATTTTTATTATACATCGTCTCAACCGACAACATCGTATTCCGCAACAAGCAGCTTCGACAGTTTTTGGTATCCAAAACTACTACGGCGTTTATTTTCTCTGTCCGTCATACACATGAACGAGGACTGCTTGTAGAGACTTTCCTACTCTAACACCGCTTTAATCTTATTTACTTAATCAACCAATTGATTGCGTATTTAATATTTAGATTTTAATGATTTAGTACTAATTCGCAGTTTGTATTCACACATTTGAACTTAAAATGTACAGTTACCACAAGTGTTCAAAAAAGCAACAGACTTAGTCTTCCTCGCTCGTTCCTTATACGATAAGATAGTTCACGCGGAAGATTCAAAAATAAGTATTACTTGATGAATGAATGAAGTGCTCAAATTGAAATTTGTTTGAACGAAGAATCCATCATTTCTTTTTGGATACGTTCGGCCTGACCTGACTCTTACAAATAGTTCCAGTCTCCTAGGATACACAACCTCAGGAGCGAGGTAATTACACTTAGCGGAAATGAATTGTAAACCTGGATTTTCACACGCATGCTTAATTTATAACTGTAAAATAATTTATATGGTCGATTCGGTAATTAACCGTCGTACCTACATAACGCTACTTCGTTAACAAGTAGTCGAATGTGTATCTCTATACGGTATTGACCATAGCTGTGACTGAGCCACTAAAAAGTATTCAGAATGTTTATTCATTAAGACTACAAATTTTCTTTTTCATCACCACGGAACGGTGTATTTATCAATTGAAGTCGCGCTATCGATTCACTACGCGCTATATTATTTTCAAAAGAGCGGTTTCTAAAAATACGCTAAAAATCGTTATTTCGTATACGCAATGTCTTTTCAATATTAAAAATATCATTACCAATGAGTACCGACGTCTTTAAGATAATCACAAGGTACTAAGAAGTTACTTCTTGTGAGATGTTATGAATTTTGCAGATTAAGTAAGAAAGTAATCAAACCGCATATCCGTTTCGTCTAAACAGCATAATATGTGCACCTTACAACACGAAAACCATCATTTGATTTAAAAGAAGTTGTTGAACTACTATCGTACTAAACATTTGTGGGTATAATCAGACCGCATATCCGTTTCGTCTAAACAGCATAATATGTGCATCTTACAACACGAAGACGATCATTTGATTTAAAAGAAGTTGTTGAACCACTATCGTACTAAACATCTGTGGTTACTCCGCATATTACGGCGCGATAATTTCGTAAATGTGCATTATCACTAGTAAGTCACGGCGAAAACTTGCGTTAGCCTAATTCAGATTATTTCTTTGTAAAGTAAGCGTATTCAGTATGACCTATATTCTTACAAAACGCATATGCGATTTTGTCCGTAGGTTATTTTTCAAAAGAACTAAATTTACTTCTATACTACCCGACTATATTGCAACTATAGCACCGTATTTGAGAATCTACTTCTATACTACGTAGTTTGCTATCATATATGACCAAGTATGATCATCACTAACTCACTCACGTTACTACGCACTTGCTTCACCTTTTAACAACAAAACTGACACCGTCTGTCGGTTCACTGAATGACCACGATCTACTTCATCGCAACTACTCGTCAATGTTGCGCATACTTAAAAGTATGAAATATAAAAATGGAAAGATCTCACCAGATTCATGACATTAAACGTCGATAAGACGTTTCGTAATGTCTGTTGAGGTAGCAACCGATCGCGCCACCGCACCAGGTGCGCTCGTTGGCGCCGCGTTGGCGGGTCTGGCTGGCGCGCCGACTGTCTGCGCGGGCGGCGACAGCGTGGCGGGGCCGGTGCCGGCGCAGGCACGTCGTCAGCATCTACGTCGGCAGCTATATGCGAACCCCTGTTTCGCTGAGCTACCCGCACGTTGTTCCAGCGACACCAATTGTTGAGACTTGCGTCCATTAACGCTCCTAGTTCACCTATATTTGATAGGTGGAGAACGGAGACGCGTGCTCTCGTAACGATGGGCGTTTTCTACTCGACATGTAATCAATCCTTAGTCAAAAATGTTATTCGCGACCAAAAATGGCCTCGAATCCCACTTCTGATGTTAGGAGTAACCTCTAAATTTAATTAAATAAAAGAAACTGATAACAAATCGTATAATTAATTTTAACAAAATCAGTAAAAGAATTTATAAAGCAAACACGGTATGATACGGAGATTCGTTCGAGAGCACGTCTGTCGATCAAAAGAGGCCGCACACCGGGTTTCGCAGCCTTTTATAGACGCGCCGCACGACGGTGGCGCCACCACAGGAAGTTACACCTAACAATATCTATATTCTTGCTCATTCTTCTTGTGATGAATCTGCATTCCGAATGAGTGGTAGAATCAAAATATGACTATTCAAAAGTGCTTGTAATGAGTTTATTTGAATAAAGATTATTTCTATTTCTATTTCTATTCCTTAATAACATACACATATAAATAAATAAAATTTGTAATATTGAAATAACTGTTTTTTGCTAAATGCATGTGAATATAAATACGGTACATACACCAATATAACATTTTTTACAATTTTTGTTCCGGGTAATCTCTGAAATGGCTGGACTTTTTTGGCAGGTAGCTGATGTAATAAGATGTAACTTAGACAACTTTTATTTTAGAAAAATAAAATCAAATTCTACGCGGGCTAGCATAATATATGCGGAATATCGCTGCTATTCAATGTATGTGATATTGTTGTATCATTTTGTACTTACATATTGAAAACACCGCTTTATTTTGTTTTGAGAAATGTCAAATGATATGTCAGAAACGTACGTCAAATTCTAACCTATGTACAGTATTGCATTTAGCTCTGATCTGTGGTATATTTATTTACTTTACTCTTCTACTGAAGATTAGGCTGTATGGTCTCGTACCTTTGCCTATCCACTTGTGGATAAAATATACCACTACTACTATTACTTTACTCTTTCTTTGGTTAAGAATAATAAAAATAATAATGCATTTTTACAAATCCATTTACTGATTCAGAATTTCAGGTTTTAAATAAATTTGTTTTTTACACTACATGTTATTATGGTGCGACGGCAGCGTGAACAAAGCACTACTGAAGACGAAATTGTAATTGGTAAGAAAAATAATTAGTTATTATTTTTATTGTAAGTTTATTTAATTACTATAATTTACCACGCATCCACGTATCAATAATACTTATATTATTTACAGACACATCTCCCCCTAAGAAACATAAACGCCATAAGCATAAAAAACACAAGAAAAGAAAAATCGAAAATGATTTTGAAAGCGACACATCTATCGACGTCTCTTACGAAGATGCTGTGGATAAGCCATACAAATTAAAAGTAAAAACTGGCAGGGAGTTATCTGGTACCTCAGCAGCAGATCTACTTAAAGCACAAACCATGAAATCATCATCAGACTCGCGTCGATCTTTACCAGGTTCCTCGTCCAGCACTCCACCAAAGGCAACATCTAAAAAAAAGAAAAAAAGTAGAGACAGTGGAACTTCTAGTGAGGAGGAAAGATGGCTTGATGCTATTAAATCTGGAAAGCTTGAAGAAGTAAGTTTCCTAGATTTGTGAACAATATTTTTATATTATTATACTCTATTCCAACAAAACTTACAAAAAATGGAAACAGTATCACATTTATTGGTACTTTTTAACTACATATACCATCACTTTTTGTAACAGTATTTTATGGTATTCTCTTTCTGAATTGTAATTTACCATTATTAAGCAAAAATTCAATCTTCCGGGCTGAGTTCATGATTATGATAATGAAGCCAAAATTGCAAGCATCTGAACAAATTAATCAGTCATATTAACATTTTTGTAATGTTGGTTATTATTTTTTATTTGTACTGCTTTTTCTGTTACTGGACCATATATTTTTAGTAACATTCATTGTAATGGTTTATAGTTATTTTATCTCCAAATTAATACTGAGATCTAATTGTAGTTTGCCTAATTATTTTATAACATATGATCCTTTATTGGTGTACCAATTATGAAGAAAATATTGAATATTTTATACTTAAGTTAAATTAATATATAAGCTGTATTATATTGACAAGTTACATATATATATATGTTTGACATAATCACATATATATATATGTACCTTCTAAAATTAAATAATATTGAAAGACCATAATTTAAAGAAACTTTATTTACAATATTCCCTACATGATCTTCAAATACCTGGAATATACAAGATCCAGACATATAATGTCTCAAAATCATATATTATATTTTTTAGATTGTCTTGTTATATTACTAAAAATAAGATAACTTGGTTTAAGAGTAATGTTACAAAAATAACATAATTTTAATTAGTTTTTTGTTTTACCATGTCAGTTTCATGCTGACAATGTAGTGATATGATTATAATAATGTATTTCCAGGTTGATGAGGAGCTGAAAAAAATTAAACCGAAGGATCCTAAAATGATGACTGCTAGACAGAGAGCAATGTATGAAAGGGGTAATGACAAAGAAACAAGTCCGGGTGGAGAAGTGTTGCTTGCTCTACCGTCTGGTTATAAAGAAAAAGTTATGACTGCAGAAGCCATTCAGAAAGCAGCACTAAAATCACAAAAACGAAAACAATTAGCAGATGAAAAGCGTGAAAAAGATAAAAAGAAGACTATGGATCGCCTTCTCAAAAAACAAGAATCAAAAAACTTAAAAAATGCCCAAAAAGGCAAGCCAGCCAAAAAACAGGAGCCTATGATTGTTTATAAAAACAACAACAATGAAATATCACTGTCATTGCCACCTGGTGTTCCATTTCCTTTAGAAACCAGGGTTCCAATAGAAGCACCTAAACCTATAAAATGTGGTATAGAGGAATGTAATAATAGCAAAAAATATAATTGCTCTAATAGTGGTATTCCACTGTGCAGTTTAGAATGTTATAAAAAAAATTTAAGCTTGATTATGGTAACGTAATATACTATTATAACAACTTTATTGTTTTTTATATTTTATCATCACACACACTTAGTATGTCTATTTCACAGAGCCAACACACCAATCAACCGGTCAACCAATCAAATAAAGACTTTTATTCAAGTAGGTCAAGTTTCTTCTATTAATATTTTTGCACTGCTTATAGAATTAGCTGCCAGTGAAAGTTCCATCGTGTCAATGATTAGTAGGAACAACAATTTTTTAAATTAATGTTTTGATGTAAGTATCCTATCCACTTAAAAAAGCTTTTAGTGAAAAGCTTTTTATATTTAGAAAAGATTTAAAGAATATATAAATACTCAATAGGTTGTTTTTTGACTAGGATTTTTTAATATTATAGTATTTTGGACACTTGGTTTTATTTCATTATACCTAATAATAGAATGTTTTCCCGCCTGCGCGAACCGTTAAGTTAATGCTGGCGGCAGCCCCTTCTTCCCCACTGGGCACGTGCCCAGGGCCCAGCGATGGATTTTTTTTTATTTTTTGTGGATGATCATGAAATGGTGCTCCCGCCTGCGCTAACGGTTTACGCTGGCAGGGCACCAGTGGAGGATGATAAGATGAATATGAGGTCAGGTCAGTTAGCCCGTCGTGACAAATTCACTAGGAATTTATAACGATGGTTTCCAGGAGGAACCGCGTGGAGGTCGACCTAACATGGTACATTGCTAGCAATGGGGGTTACTAGTTCCCATTACTAACAATCCCCTTCCCCCCCCCCCAGCGATGGGTTGGGGCCCTTAGTCTAGTCTAGTCCCTCCTCCATTACCAAATGATAACAGATAGCTACTCTACTCTCGCCTAAAAACCAGTTCTAATAAATGCTTACCGACTATGATCTGATATATGATATGAATTTGTTCGTTTTTGTATTTTTTTTATAAATGTTTAGCAAGAACTTGAACCCCTCATCACATAACGACTTTTTAAAATTATATTTGTCTGGTTTGATTTGAAATCCCTACATACATCTCTAAGAATCATGTTCAAAAATGACTTTGTCTAATCTAACAAAATAGTGTTTTATTACTATAGTCATAGGGGCCCCATTATCCTAATGTGCCCAGGGCCTCTAATAGGTGAATGACGCTACTAGCTGGCGGCGCCCCAGTAGAGGATGATGTCAGTTAGCTCTTAGTGGCAAATTCATAAGGAATTTATCATGATAGATTAGATAGAGAACCGTTTGTAGGTTGGCCTGACGTAGTACATGATTAGCAATATAATCACTATTATGTATTATTAACAATCCCCTCCCCCGTTTCGACTAGGTTCCACTAGCTGTGATAAGGAGATGACAAGTACAGAGATATCAATGTCGGTAGATTTCAGCAGTTTGTCCAAATGTTTAATTTATGAGAAGTAATAAATAAAATTATTATTATTATTAAATACCGTCATTAGGTAATCCTTACCACCTATTGTCAGAACCGAAACTCCCACTTTCTATAGCCCAAGAGCCCACGACGGCCAGACATATGTCATATTAGTAAACGTGAAAGTTCTTGTATGTGTGTCCCCAACAGAGGTAAGAACGATCCCCAAACATGAAACCTGGCTCGTGGTTGCTTCGGCAGGTAACAGGTAACAAAGGTGTAAAAAATTTCATATCAAATTCGTTATTTTAAGAAACTCCATATTTTCATATATTGTTCGTAGCATTATTATAACTTGCGCTGCTCATTGCCAGACCCTTAGTGTGGTTCCGACCCCCCGCCGGACCCCCCTAAACTATACTATGTTATAAATAAACTTACGTCATTTTAATAAAGCTGAACTTTATATATATTATTGAGAGAACTATTAAACTGAGTTTCCTAAATTGCCAGACAGTTTTCTTGGTTCCTTATCCTACCAGACTCATTGAAACCGTATATTTGGTAACAACGGTGTATACAATTTCATATCAATTTCATTATTTTAAGATGCTCCATTTTTTCACATATTGCTCGTAACAGTATTATAACTTGCTCTGCTCATTGCCAGATCCTTAGTGTGGTTCCAACCCCCCGCCGGACCCCCCTAAACTATACTATTTTATAAATAAACTTACGTTATATTAATAAAGCTGAACTTTATATATATTATTGAGAGAACTATTAAACTGAGTTTCCTAAATTGTCAGACAGTTTTCTTGGTTCCTTATCCTACCAGACTCATTGAAACCGTATATTGGGTAACAACGGTGTATACAATTTCATATCAATTTCGTTATTTTAAGATGCTCCATTTTTTCACATATTGCTCGTAACAGTATTATTACTTGGCAATTTAGGAAACTCAGTTTAATGGTTCTCTCAATAATATATATAAAGTTCAGCTTTATTAAAATGACGTAAGTTTATTTATAAAATAGTATAGTTTAGGGGGTCCGGCGGGGGGTTGGAACCACACTAAGGGTCTGGAAATGAGCAGAGCAAGTTATAATAATGCTACGAAAAATATATGAAAATATGGAGTTTCTTAAAATAACGAATTTGATATGAAATTTTTTACACCTTTGTTACCTGCCAAAGGAACCACGATCCAGGTTTCATGTTTGGGGATCGTTCTTACCTGTGTTGGGGACACACATACAAGAACTTTCACGTTTACTAATATGACGTATGTCTGGCCGTCGTGGGCTCTTGCTCTATAAATTTACCACCACGTCCAAGGCATAGATTCACACAAAATATTAAATTACGAAATTCAATTAACTTGATGTAACACTGTGCAGTTTTAGTCCATATTTTATACTGGTATCCTAAATTGAGAATTTAAAAAAAACAGCGAGTTAGAGACAGCTAAATAGTGAGCATATATTTTGTAATCAAGTATATTTTATAGACAAATTTACAAGAACAAATCAAAACATTGGCTTAGATATTATGAAACCAGTCTTGCATTGAGTTTCAGAAAATAGTATGCATGAGTTAGTAACAGTGAAACAATAATGCAAGCATGTGAATTACGTTCGGATACATATCGCGTCAGTCCGGATTTCCGAAATCACTATCTGCACCATAAGAAAAAGATATTAGCCTCTGTTTACATTTCCAGGTATAACTCTAACCGAAGATTAATATTGATCAATACCAGACTAGAACCTTTTGATCGCTTGACTCCCAACTATAATAAATTGTCTCCTACACTTTATAGTAAAGACAAAACTAACATTCAATCATTGCAATAGGTTACATAATTTATATTTAAATATTAAGAATGGATACAACAAAACTGTTGTCTTCTCATTATTCTTCATACATTATAAATCATTTTTGTTACAGTAAATTTCAAATTAGGATTCCTTCAGTCTAATATAATGGCAACATTACATATTTAATAACAGAATGACTAAATATTATATGGACACAAGAGTTGAAGCCAGTAATATAATTATTACACATAATATGTACAAGAAATAACATAGAGATATATAAATTACAGCAGTAATAAGTTAAGGATAAGCAAGTCATATCCTGAATCTATGCAATTAAATCAAAATACTAGAATTTGCTAAAATCACAGCTAGCATGGTATACATAGATAAAGAAATAATTCTGATATCAGCCTGCAAATCTGTATGCCTTGGTGAATAATTCTGACACAGTATTTGGCTTTTGTCCCTGTGATTTCAACTAATTTAAAATTATACTTATTTAACACCTAGATAGTAACTACATATAAAAATTGTCAATCTATACAATGCTGCAACTCTTGTATTCTTATATAAAGTGAAATGCATAGAAATATTTAACTTTTTTTAAAATATGAAATCGTACATTTTACAAATACATTTACTTAGAACTTTAATACTTTAAAGAAACTATAAATTATGAAATAAATAATGAAAAGCAATTTTTTCGTGATTATTATTATAAGATAACAAGTAAAGCATTTTTTGTACAGTATACTAGTTACATACTTATAATGCATAAATGAGCTTTATTTTTATAAAATATTCTCATGAATGAGATCCTAACACCTAAACAACATTGATTTGGCAATTTACTTGAGCTGTGTTAATATATTTTAAGCATAACATTTAATTATGTATTAAAAGTACCACATAAATGTACTGCAAAGCTTGTACATATTCATCAAACTCTTAATAATAAATTCACTAATTTACATACAGCTTTACAATATTTTAAAATTAATTCAAGAAAGATATCAACTGGAAAGTATTTTCGTAAACACACTCCCTAACATTCTCACTAAGGGTACACACTATAGACATCAATAACAAATACTGCAGATTTGGTTGCTTTACTCTGTAACTACTGTTATAACTGCTTCCTCTACAGCCAAAGCTATATTTAGGTATGAATCTAGATATGTGACATTATTTCTTGTCATATCAATTCTTTCTTATATTTGTGACATACTAATATTCACTAAACACAAAACGGATATGTAATCACATAGTAGTCCTCCACAACTCATCCGAAGTGGTTTTAAATTATAAATGCCTCTTTTGCTACACTAATACTCCATTGTCATTCACATTCCCAAGAGAGCTCATAGAAAGTATAGATCTACAGAGTGGTCATGGGCATAGCTCGATACATTTTACAGACCGAAGCATGGCAGCCAGCAGAAGGGCAAAAAGTAGCCAGCTTGGTATCAGACATTTGTCCTTTTAGAGCTCCTAAGGCGCGCCAAGCCAGACTGTAACCGCTAAGACTGATTATTCTGTTTATTTGATCTAAGTCGAGCCAAGCCTGAGCGCTCTTCCTCTTCGTCACTTGTACATGAAAGACCACCGACAGCTCCACGAGATGAGGTAGCTTGAATCAAATCTTGATCAGGTCCATTTCTACTCTCATATAATAATATACCCAAGGTCTCCTCATAAATCCTAGCTTCAGGAAACTCAACTTTGGTATGCTTTTTATCTGTGGCATAAACAATAGAAGTACAACAGACTTCAGCACATTTCTTTCCATGTCCAAAGAAAGACCAACAACATATTTCATTAGAGCCAATAACATCTTTAATAAAGAGAACTCTACCACTGAAACGTAGGGAGAGTTTGTCAAATAACTCAATATTTTTTAACAAATTGTCATCAGATGTGCTTGTATATGAATACTTATTATTGTGCCTATTAATTAGAAGTTTCACAACGGGCTGAAAAAAGAAGAATAATATTATTAATTAATAAAATAAGTATACAGTAAACAAATATAGTTTTGTGAAAGCTATTTACAATTGACATAAAAACATACTAATTTTATTAAAAGTATTTTAAATAAGTAAGTCTTTTTGGTTAAAATACTAACAATTTAAAGGCAGAATATTTTTTTTAATGTTTCTGAATTGAAACAATTAAATTATTTGTTATATTTTAAATGTACAAAATGGTTTTATATCCAATATACCAGAAAAATGTAATTTAAAAATACCTTAGAAGTTGACATAATAAGCAGTTGCTCTTCTTTTTGTGATGTTATGAGAGGTACTCTGCATATTGGTTCTGCTTCTCTTTCTTTTTTAGCTAGAGCCTGCTGACATGAATCAGTCAATTCTTCAATTAGAAAATACTTGGCCTCAGCCAATAACTCCATTATCTCACGATAACTATCAGGCAAAGCCACAGTGCCATCTCGGAGGTAATTCAGTATTGTGCCAAAATGTTTGCCACATCGGTCAATCAATATCCAACCTAAAATGATAAAGTATATTATTATCAGATAATACAATTTCTAAATTTAAATTATTTGATAATATAAAGCATTCACTGACAATCAATAAACAGTGGAATTTGAAAGTAGAGTTTATAGAAATAACTCAATCTACCCTGGGAACTGCTTTCCTATGCCTATCTGATAGAGAACCAATTTAATATCAGAAATAAAAATGTCAATTAATAAACACACAGATAAAAGTAAAATGCTAAATATTGGGCGTGTAAGGGTGTCCAAATGTAAGGAAAAAGGAAGAAAAATTTCCTCATTGTACAAAGTAGGTGGAGTAAGATCAACACTCGAAAAATAATATAATGAAATTATTAGATATACCTTCGGAATCCGTTAACACTTCCATTCTACCACTGAACATAGTTCGCAGCATATTGTCACTCTTAGTCAGCGTGCCAATTGTTGTATAAAAAAGAGTACCGCCCACATTTAACTTCACGTATTGCGATGGGCTGCCTTTTATCAATGTTTTGTGATCGCCCGACATTTTCTAAAAAAATGTCGGTGTAATAAACAAAATAAATGTTCGAAACAACTATGTAAAGATTATGTTTACTGGCAGCTTCGTAAAATAAATCGTTTATCTTTTTACCTTTAAATCCATTCCAGTTGTTATATTCGAAATGGTTAAATTTTTGATAATTTTAAAGAATGAAACCAAATTTCAAGTTAATAAAATGTCCATATTAAATGAATGACAATTTTTTTAATTGATACATTTTAGGTTCTGAGTACTAGGTAGACTAGTCAGTTTTAACGAACCAGAGACTAAAATAAAGCTGAGTCTTCACTACAGCGACACAAACACACTGTACACAATTGAGATAAAAATCAAGTATTTATGTTTTTAATGCTAAATTGTTTCGTTTGGGTTCATAATAAAAATTACATAGGTAAAATGGTGGTGGTTAAATCATAGAATACACTAAGTACCGTTGATTTGTGGAATATTTCGTACAGTGCCAATTTTCGCCAAACCTTCGTAATTATATTAAGTGATCTGTGATAATAATTTTTGTTGCGGATAACGGATTTTTTACTCTAATCTGTATTGGTACTGTATACTGTTTCTCGTATTTGATCTTTGCAAACTGTCGGTAGTGCGGCGATGCTTAATTTCAACTTAAAGCATTTAATTTTTTTATTTAAACTAAACTAATTTATTTTTGAGTTCTATGACTACCAAACGATAATTGATAACATATAGGTACATAATATACTAAGAAATAATAAATCTGTTTTAATTTCTACAGTTTTAATTGATGTTGCACATTTTAACACGTGTCGTTATTTTCAGCCTTATATTTTTTTATTATTAAAGAAAAATAATTTCTTCGATTTTTTCCAAATTCTTGTGCATCTTTTAATGTTTCTGGCAATTTCATATTTAAAGTTTCCGGAAGTAAAAAGAATGATAAGCATCCAAAAACAGAAAATCCAGCTAATATCAAATACGGTAACTTTACATCCACATGATGTCCCTGCAATTAATAAATTAAATGGGATAAATATTTAATCACAAAATCAAACTCTATTATTGCTAAATATTTTTTAAAAATGATACTTTATTCTGTTTTTTAATCTCGGAGACAAAATTGACATGTGTAAATGTCAAGTTTTCTAATGATGTTACCAGTGGGGTAGTGCGTACCTGCGATACTAATTTGTTGCATCGTAATTTTTTATTTTACATTTAAAGCTTTCTACGTAGTTTTCACAACATACTTTCGAAATTCACGTACGTACACTGGTGATTCTATTGTTGTCTTTGTATTAAACAACACAAAAAATCATTTTTGAACATATTATATTTCTTTCAAATAACTAAATGTTTAAAAAAACGTAACGTATGTTTAATTAAGTATGATCCACAAAATACGAAGTTTATTTATTTTATAAATAGGTAGGTAGTTAATCTTCGTTTAAGAAAATATATGTCAATAAAAATCTATTTTAATACAACAACCTATATTTATTACTATCTGTACTTTACTAATTTTGTATTAATGCGTAACAAATATTAATCACTAATAAACATTAATTTCCGATTGTGCCTCACTATTTAAGAATCGCAAAAAGCTTTGGTAATGAATATTAATAAATTTTGTCTCTGAGATTAAAGAACAGATTATAAGTTCATGTTGATTTTTTAAATCGGAAAATAATTATTTTTCGAGTAAAACTTTTTTTAATGATTAATTTGCTTTTTTTAATGACTAATTTAATTTATACTTACTATATATAGTAAATACGGTGCAATTGCTCCACCACCACTGGCCAATAAATTGCCCAATGACATTCCTGATTGACGGAGACACGTGGGATAGAGTTCCATATTAAATAAATAAATTACATAATAGGAAGTGGCTGTCGCCAGTCTAGTTAATATAGTTAATGTGGTACCGACCAACCACCATAGATGCCATTCACCTGAACCTGGTAAAATACGTAATCATATATATAACAAACTCGTAATTGAATGTACTCAACATTCAATATTTTTTCATACATCATAACACTTTGTAGGCGTATTATATTATCTAGGTTTAAAGGATTGGTTGGTTATAGGATTTTTATCAGTTTGTCTGTCAATTTGTGCACGTTAATATTACAAACAGCATAATGCAGACTTGAATGCAGGTTTCGCTACTATTAAATGTTCTTGTAACATTTTACATTCATTCCAATCGATTAATGAACAATAAAGTTAATAAATAGTACGCGCAATTCTAGAATCGCGCTTACGTAACCAACTAGTGATGTATATAAATATAAATATTATGTAGGTATATAAGAGACGTCTGATTGGATATTTAAATATTTACACGTAATAAATTGATTTTTTATACTTATATATTTATATTAAATATGTCTATGTTTTAAATCCAGTACAGTCTGTAAACAATTATATAGTTACCATTTTCATATAAAGCGATGGACATCCATAATAATACCGTCAGTGTATAAGAAATTAATCCAGCATAGCGGCGACCAACTCGGTCAGCAAGCCAAGCTCCGAACAGAGCACCTGGCACTTCAACTACTGATTGCCAAGCAAATTCTAAAAATGGATTGCCATCCGATTTTTGTCCAGACTTCATCATCAATATTGTGTAGTTAATTGCGACAGAAACCCTGAAATACGTAGTAAAGTAAATAAAGTATTCGTGTGTCCTCAGCCCAAATATATAATATGCTCGTTATTGGATTTCACAGAAAACTTACCACAAATATGACTGTAGAATTGTGTTTATCGCTAACCTCCTTCCGGAAAATAACGCTAATGGTCCTATGGTATTAGTTCCGCGAGTGTTCATTTGTGAAGCATTATCCATAATATCTTTTTCGGTGTCTAATCCCAAATTGGTTTTATTTCCTTTTGCTATAATTTTCAAAGTTCTGACACACGCTTTGGATTTTCCTTCAATCCAAAGCCATCTAGGAGACTCTATCATTTTCCTTAAATAAATGTATACATTTCATGTAACTATTAATTGAAACCTAATGAAATGTCTTGTAAATTATTCTATATCCTCAAAATAAATAGTTACCATGAATATAGAAGAAAGGGCAATTGTGTCACAGTTGTGACTACCATAAACGTTTTCCAATCACGTAACCACCAATACAAGAATGGCATTATAAACATACTAGAGCTGTTAGCTATGGATCGTAATGTGGCTGTTCTGGAACGACGCTCTGGTGAGGATATCTCCATAGATATAACGGTAGCGCTTTGCACGACAGACCATGATGGGAACCACGCCAAAGCACAACCAATCGCAAAAAATGTGAATGAAGAACTGAACACAATTGATATTATACGGCCAAGAACAAGGAATGCTAATGACAGAATGTACGTCCATCGGCGACCATATCTGAAATAGATTAGAAAAAACCGTTATATGAGTAATAAAAACATCCAGTATGATGGCTCTATCCGGAAAGAAGAAAACAAAAAGTCGGAAACTACGATCTGTATATACTTAGTTTGTGCACATTAAACTGTTATGCGCAAATCAGACGATTTTTTGTTGATTTGTCTCCTTTGTTTCTTGTCATTTCTTGACCTCAAGCAGATAGCCTCTGCGGTGATGCAGATAGGGCCATAATAAACAAACAAGTAGTAGTTGATAGTCATTCATATGATTACCTTGTTCAGACTGAATAGGGCTTTGAAATCAGATAGATTATTACGTTTAAAAGGTTTTGGACGAATTCTAAAAAAATGTACTTTTATCTACTTAATTATATAAGATTTTTCGCATCGCAAACTTAACGAGAATGATTTTCTTGTATGTTCCGTAATACACAGAAAATTGTAAAGAACAAAAGAAGAGAAATCGGTATTGAAATGTACAAATTAATTTCTTTGATCGGATACTTCACATAAACTAGTAACTGAATATTTTAAAATTTCGCGCCATACGTCCTATCCCTATAGATAGTACATGTGTACATACTTTACAAATTAAAAGGGTGCAGCGATCGCGTGAAAACCAGGCTTTTTTATCACGATTAAATTTACCATGTGTTGAGATAGAAAAGTCAAGCGTCTCAAAATCCGGCGTGTGAGATGTCTTATGAAAGTAAATCAGACAAGAGTCGCAAGTATATCAATGGCACTGTGTTCTCAATGTTTACTGTGTAACTGACTTAACATGAAGATAACTATGTAGAATGACGAAATAATAAGAGCCAGAAAACACCGCGTCATCGAAATTAAAATTAAGGCAATTTTAATACAAGCTGCAGCTTTTTAACGGGTTAATATCAGATATACATACGCATCACCAAACCAGCCAAATCCTAATGATCCTATGGCTTCACTGATTTTACTAATAGCCAATATGTTAGCAATATTCAACTCGTCTTTGCAAACCCAATTATTTGTTGAAGCAACAGTTGACTCGTACCAAGTTCTGTCATAATCATAGTCGTCACAATCTGCAAAAAACGTAGTTCCGTTAATACGTAATTATCATTACAAATATAAATAAAAGTTTTGAATGAGCATTCTTTATGATTATGCTGAATAGAAGTGAATTTTAAAAAACTCATACCAGATGGCATCACTGGGCATTGCACGTGGGGAGCTTGCGCGCATGAATGACACATGCGTGAGCGCAAGCGTGTTTGATAAAAATAAACATATCAAATTTTTATGAATTATTCAGAATATTTTATGAATATTAAGGTATGGTATAGTAAACTCACCTCTAGTACGATTGTTTTCTGGAGGATTTTCATACATTAAACAGCTACTATGTACTATTTTCCCGGTATTATCATTAGATCTGTTATTTCGTAATAATATAATGAAAACATTGTAAACACAATAATTAAACCAGTAATAATAATTGTAATTATTATATAAAATAAAAAATCAGTCTGGTATTATGTCAGCAAGATACCTTGAAAAACTACATAATAAATTAATAAAGTTCTTACATTGGTATATATTTAGATTTCCAGTCTATATCACTAATATTCTCAGTTTTCTCAGGAATTTGGCATCGATGTGGAATTATTACGAGAGCAAGAAATATATTTGCGTATGCCATTCCCCATAATATTGCGAATAAGAAATTATAGCACATATCAAACTTTTTTTGAAAATATCCATTTTGCCCTATTTCTAAAAGGGCACGATCGTATACTGTCTCCATTTATACAGATATAAACTAACAGCCACAAAAAAAAAATTAATTCCAATACACTACTACACATTTAATAAACAGATACACTAACATATCTCCTACATTGCAAGTCGAGGTAAGTTAAGTACTGAGTTATCTATAATAAGTAGCATTAAACAAATACCTATTATCATTGCCTTTATAACAAAGTTGCCAACTACAAATTTCCTCACATGGAATATGTACATTATAATAGTTTTAAGGTTGACAACACTGAATGAATAATGATATGTATTTATGTCCTTATTAGCAGTATATACTAAAGTGAGCGATGCGTTACTTGTTGACGCGGTAAATATATAGGGAGGAAGGGAAGTAATGGGGTCTAAAAACTGACACATACAGCGGTTTAGCAGGCAAATTAAATTAACCAAAAACATTGGTTCAGTAATAAGTATAAATTGCCGTTTCCATTTCTACGATTTCTGTATCCTGATTGATTAACGTATTTTAATAAAATTGACATGAAAATTTTTTCATTGTCTTATGTTGTACATATATTTTTTAAATGATTTAGTACTTTGCAAACACTTACAATGGTTCGTTCATATAAAATAGTTCTCCCTACTAATTCGTACCCTTATCATTCCTATTCCTATTAATTGAGTACTTTACGTGGGTTCTTTATTCTAAAAAAACCACTGACAAACGTGTAAATCGTGCTTTTTCTTGTCCATGGCAGGATAACCGGTAAAATATTTTTTAATAATAGCAATACTATTGACGGCGGTTGATTGACTCCTTTGGCTTACCGCCTCCGCGATTATATATATTTTCGCGCCTGACTAGTTATTTTATGTTTAATTATAAATAACATTCCATTATGGGAGCGTATTTATCTGAACCTGTTACAGAAAAAGTGTCAAGCGATGAAGCAAATGAAAAATTGGAGTGCGGCGCAAGCTCCATGCAAGGATGGCGTGTCAATCAAGAGGTACCGATTTTGTTTCATTGTTAATCATAATATACTGTTGTTACTCTCAAGAAATATTCAGTGTCGGTGATATTCTTAGTATTCCTTTTTCTAATATTAAATATTTTTCAGCTGTTATAAATTTATTAGATTTTAATTTTGTGCATAGTTCTTCTACATAATCTTTAATCCACATGTAAACTATATATACTATGTTTCCGTTCGCAATAACTGCCAGGCTTAGGTTATTATTCCATTAATGCATTAATAATATTTCAGGATGCACATAATACTATTCTAGAGTTTGATGTGAATACTTCTCTTTTTGCTGTTTATGATGGACATGGCGGTGCTGAAGTCGCCACTTATTGTTCTCAAAAATTACCGGAATTCATTAAAAATACAGACGCTTACAAGAGTGGGGAATTTATAAAAGCTTTGGAGGATGCCTTCCTTGGTTTTGATGCTAATATTGCAACAAAAGAGGTCATGGATATTTTAAAAGATTTAGCAGGTTAGTTGGTGTACATTTTATACTAATTTAATGCCATTTATTGCTCACTAATGAATGGTTTATGGTTATGTTAGTTAAAGAGCAATAATAATACAAGCATATGCTATACTATAATAGATAGTATGAATTACAGGGAATAGAAAACCCATTATTTAATAATATCACAAGTTAATAAGGTTAAAAAAAATAATTGTGTTGTAACATATATCAAATTTTAACCTCCAATTGATTTTCATTGTCATAATTTCTTTTCTATCATTAAAATTGACATAAAATAAACAATCATATCAAAGATATATGCATATATACAAATATTGGCTATAGAATGTGGCTAGACAATTTGATTTGTTTGAATTGGTTACCACCAATTTAAATAGATTAAATTGGCTAGATTTTCTAGCTACAGTATGTATATATATTTTTACTACTATTAAACAGTTGGTACAATTTCTTACATTCCATCATAAGTTGGAAACACAACATTTCAAAATTGTTAATATATGTATATCTATTTTTTTAATATACAAGTGAAATACATGGATTTCACTTGTACATTCAGTTTCACTTATGGATTACAAAAGGAGATAAATAATATCTAAAGCATCTTGCTCTATTTAATTGTTTGTCTCACACAGCCTCCTGTGTAGGGTGCAAAAATGACCAGATAAGTATTAATTCATTGTTTTATAAACAATTAATTAATCATTATTGATGTACTTGAATCCACAACAATACTATGACAATAATATGCTATATAGGTGAAATAAATCCACCGGGTCCGAGCGACAATGAAGAGTCCGATGATGAAAATGTCAATAATCTATATCAGGAGGCACATCTTCCCTTACAGGTAAAGTATTTGTGTATCTATATTATTATTAAATTCTTAGAATGTCAGCCACTATTTATTTAACAGAATAGAAAATGTATGGCAAACTTAATACCATGTAGCGTCATTGTGTAAAAAGTTTATTCAGTTACCTACAGAAATAATTATACTCATGTTGTTTTACAATAATTGATATTTTAAATGTATGCAGCTTCTTGTGAAAATTATGAAAAACTGAACATATAGCAATTCGGTAGTAGTGGAATTTTATGTTTTTGGGGATAGTCTAACAAACAAAATTTCTTTGAAAATTCATATACTTCAGAATGGGTGATAATTATTAGATTACTTGTGTTATGAATAATAATACTGTAATAATATTGACACAAATAGAGTAAATCCTGTATATGACCTATAGAGCACACTGTTTGTGAAAATTAAATCCAAGATATAATATACCTCGCAGCTGTAGGTGTGATCATAAACGCAGTTGAGATTTAGGCTAATAATAATATGTGAATTAAAGTTTTATATGTCATGTTTTGGTTGAAAATCTAATGATCTAATCTATACAATATAATATCTAACCCACCATACATTCGCCTTGTTACCCACCAAATGCATCACATGAGCCATTCCAAAAACATTTCATCTGTTTCAAAAGTTATGTGGGGTGGTTAAGTAATATTTAATATACTAGATCTAGCCTACAAATTTTACATAACCAAGATTTAAAAAGTATTTTTTTATACTATGATGGTGGGAAACAAGGATACAGCCCATCTGAATGGTTTCCATAGTCTATAGAGCTGAGACAACATACCCAGGGTAAGCGCAACCAACCCTTACGAAACCTTATACCCTTCTTTAAAAACCTGTTATTTATTTTTTAGTAATTTCATATTATACATATAATATAACATTACTAGTAAAGTAACAACAAAATTACAGTAATTTAATAAGAAATGTTTTATTGTATACTTAATTATTACTACAGGAAGTACTGGCAAAATATGAGAACAAACTGAGTACTCTTCATAGAACTAGACTTGGTGACACGACAACACCTCTTTCGCCATGTTTAAGGGCCAAGAAGAACACTGATGAACCGGGAGGATCTGGTATGTATTTTTATAAACCATCAGTTATTCTTCCTGAAGTAGTCCTATGAATAGTCCTTAAACAACAACTATGAGATACACATTTTTGACTATTTTTTAATGCAGGGAAAATCTTTGTTCTAAGTCAACCATTTTCTCAAACTAGAATATAGTAGCTGTTATCTGTGTCATCCTTTCTGTTGGTTGTGAAAAAGGAACCAAATTTTACAATAATTTTATATTAATTATTATTAATATTGATAAAAATTAAACAGTGATTTGAGTGAGTATTCTATGGTGGATAACATATGCAAATATACAGTAACATGTACCAGATGAGAATGATACAGGTGTATTTGTGAAGAATATAGTGTTGTTTGTAAGTAGATTTCTATATTGTACATAGACATATCTGCGCTAATAGGTGTATGTCTTCCTGATGCAGGGAGTGGGGCTTCAACTTCTAGTACAGGATTTACATTCGCAGCAGGCTCAAGCTCAGAGCAGCCCGGTGCTGCTGCTTCGTCCAGTAAAAATGGGGAGTCATCAGAGAAAGAAGAAGACAATCCAGAAGAGGACACTGGTGGAGTATCTTCAACAAACTCAAATGAGGAAGACAAAGATTTGAATGGAGAGGTATTAATATTTCTGTAGTAGATTATGTAAATTTAGACTTACACTGTTATAGATAAGTAATTTATTTACACATGTATTTAACAATTATGTTTCATATTCTAATTTATCATCTGTTAATTGCCAGATAATATTCAGTTTTTTAGCTAGCTTAATTGAATTTGAAAATTAAATTTTCCAAGGACCTGCCTATGTAACTACAAGATCTTTTATATTGTACTTTTTCCAATAACCATGCATAAGCCGTTGTTAACCATAGCTAGCACTTGCCCACATGGGCTGTAATCGTTGGCTGATGTAATTGAATTTGCCTAAGAATTTACTTAATTGTCTAAATCAGGACAGGATACTTTGTATCTTCAAACATACTTATCTCTTATCTATTCCATTAACATCCACAGGTATCTACCAGTGAACCAGATAAAAAAACTGATGAATCTGCAATGGATGTTGATAAGCCAACCACAATAGCACCAGACAGTTCTGAAGATAATTGTCACCAACCAGAACAGAGTGAAGATGCCAAGAATACAACACCCAAAGAAAATGGTTCTGATGCATGCAATGGAGAAGTGACAGATTCAAAACAGGTTGAAGGTGAAGAAAATGATATTACTTCATCAAATGGATCTGCTACGCCAGTCAAATCTGGAAAAGCCAAAGGTAAATAAAATAAAAAGTTTAATTATTTTTTATAGTACTAACTGACTGTGTAAACAGTTGGTATACTGGGTTGGTAAACTATTTCTCCCTACATACAACATGTCTATATAATTTATTTACAACTAGCTGTACACATGGCTTCGTCCACATGGAATATAACTTTATTTTTCTAAAATAAAAGTAACCTAAGTTACTCCTTATTGCATCAGCTACCTGGCAAAAAAGACCTGTTAAAATCGGTCCAGCCGTTTCAAGGATTTGCTGGAACAAACAGACAGACAGACAAATATTTAAAAATAACATTTATTTTGGTGTATGTACTGTATTTATATTCATATGCATGTAGTAAAAAATGGTTATTTCAATATTACAAACAGACACTCCAATTTTATTTATCTATATAGATAAATAAAATTGGAGTGTCTGTTTTTATAATTGGTCAATATTGTACAATACCTTTTTAATTTATAACATTACGTTGTTTATACCAAACTTTGTGATCTCTTACAGTACAAATTTGTGACATCAATATTTGCCTTATAGAATCCAAAAATTAAGCTTGCATTTGAACTTAGATAGTTTTTTCAATATTAAATAAATCACTGGTTAACCATAGAAAACTGTTAAATTTATATTATCTTATTTTTAGACAAAACATCACCAGTTTCAAGTTCAGATAAAGCAACACCTGAACGGCCCAAAAAGGCCAAACTTCGACGTGCCGCAGCAGCTGTATACGAGTCACTGCTGCGACAGGCTGAAGATGATGACGAAAGTGATTCTAATGACGAGACATTCGAGGGTGGCGAGATTAATTCTTCTGACGAAGAAAATTGCAATGGTGTGGAGGAATCCTCAAATGATGGTAATTATCTGAAAAGCTATTGAGTATTTTAATAAAATTAACCAAAATATGATATCATTTCAATATCACTGAATTGTAGGTGAAGGAGAAGAAGAAGAAGATGAAGAAGAGTATGAAGCAGAGTCTAGTGACGAGGATGGCGAAGAGGACCTTAGTATGACAGAGGAACCAGGAAATGACAGTGGCTGCACTGCTGTTGTTGCCTTACTCAAAGGTAAGTTTTAATACATACATCTTGTTAGTCACAACTACTAAAACATATTTTGTTTGTGATATTAATCAATGATATGTTTATTCATGTATTAGATTTCATATATCCTACAAATCGAAACAGATTTACAAAATTAAATACAAAACAAACAATACTTTGATATAATATTTTACAGGAACGGAACTATATGTAGCTAATGCTGGAGACTCTCGCTGCATTGTATGCAGGGAAGGCAAGGCCATAGATATGTCAATAGATCACAAGCCAGAAGATACCCCTGAGCTTGAACGTATTATAAATGCAGGTGGTAAGGTGTCTAATGATGGCCGCATCAATGGCGGTCTCAACTTATCTCGTGCCATTGGTGACCATTCATACAAGCAGAATAAAGATTTAGGTGCTAAGGAGCAAATGATCACAGCACTCCCTGATGTAAAGACATTAACCATTGATCCCGAAAAGGATCAGTTTATGGTTTTGGCTTGTGATGGGATTTGGAATTTTATGTCTAGTCAAGATGTTTGCGACTTTATCGTACCAAGACTGGAGGAAGGTAGAGAGAGATTATCACAGATCTGTGAAGAGGTTTGTATCTCAATTTTATCTTATTCTTTAAGTTGTTGTTAGATATATGCTTTGATCATCAAATCTAGAGTACTATTTTCTTTGTATGTCTGGTAATTGGATAAAATTACTATTAAGTCTTTTTTTTATTCTTCTTTGTACAATAAAATATGTACTAAAAGGCCTAAAGCCATGTGATGTCTACCAGATATAGGTATAAATAGAAATCGTTGACGGCAGTTGTGGCAAAATACTGAGAGAATATGACTATATTTTATGTGTATAAATAGTCAAACAAAATGTATGTACATATGTCATACAAATATGTATATGTTAGCTAACCCACAACTGCAACTTCGTCTGCATCACACTTGAATTTGAAATTTTGAAATTTTGAAAATAGAAACATTTTTACAAAAGTTACACATTATTTTCTCTTACTCCAAAATTTCACAAAAAAGATGGTAATTATTCTTGGCATTTTTCACATATATTGAAAAAATGTATGGCACTAAGACGGTTAAAAAGGAAAGCGACGAATTAATTTCTTTGTGTTACAATTTTTGACTATATTAGTAACATTACAAAGAATAATATAATTGAAATAATATTAATGCAATATATAGATTTATATCAGGTAACTTTGACTTTCTCTGCAGATGTTCGATCACTGTTTAGCACCGAGCACAATGGGCGATGGAACGGGCTGTGATAATATGACGGCTATTATTGTAAGATTTAAGGATGGTATTATAGCTGATGTTGCAAAACACACAAGTAATACTGAAGGGTCTAAAAAACGAGTCGCTGAAGATGAGCCCAATCAAGATGAACAACAGGAGTCTAAAAGGCAAAAGGTTGACGATCCCCTTTCAAGTTCAGTGGTGACATCAAGTGTGTAGAGGGTAAGGATTAACATATAGGTCTAAGGATTAACAGTGTTCAAGCCACGTATAGTATTGCGTAACATTTGTCGGGACTGTAACACTAAACAGAATGCCTCTTTTATTTGGGATTTTGTTAATTTTATATAATTTATGTACCAAATTTTTCAAGATGTCATCTTACTATTTGTCTTTTATGGGTGATTACGCATTCAAAAATCTCTTCTGCCAGTGAGCAACACTTTAGATTTAATTTGTAAGGTAAAATGATTGTTTTGCAGCAGGTTAACAGTGGTAGCATAGTATGCAAAGGAAGATCTATAAATTAACTTTCAATTAATTAGTCATGTAGTTGTATCGACAAGTGATAGTAATTATGCATGCACATAGCTTTGAGTACTTAGTGATATATTATTAAATGTGACCTCAATAAATGATTATTATTTCTGAAACTGACATTATTTATTTTCTTCCTATGTTATGCAACATAAGAAGAAAATAAATGATCACAATGCATTATTCAGTTTTTAATGAAAACATTCTAAAGTAAATTATTTTTTAACGTGTCACATCGTGAATAATAACAAAAAGCAGGCAGGCATTTATTTATTTTAGTATTAATTATGGCCAACTGGTCCTCTTAATTGAAATCCATAATTGGCTACTTGACAATTTTCTGAAATATATTTTATAATTTTTGTAGACTTATTTAAAACCCCCTACAATTATCTAATTTTCAAAAAAAGCTTTATTTGATAGAGAAAACATGAATTTTATTTCTCTTTGTTTGAAATCCGCGCTAAACCACTATGTCATGTGACATTTTCGAGCTATGACGTCATATTTCAATAAACGAAACAAGGCTAATACGGCGCTCTAACTGTTTTGAATGATAAGTGTACAGATTTTATTGGAATTGTGAAAGTGACAAGCTACAAAATGTATGCAGTGCTTATGTGTCGAAGTACGACAATTAAATGTCCCAACAAATTGTTTATACATGTTCCTAAATGCCCAAAACGTCGAAAGCAATGGTTACAATTGGCACATGGAGACCCACAGTTTACGTCTGATATATCTGCGATATTCTTATTCTTATGAGGATCACTTTGATGTAAGTATTTAGAAGAAATCAATATGTTTGATTTTCCAAAAATAAATTAAACCTAACTGCTTAAACTATAGAATAAACGAACCTAATTTCTACCTAATGACACTTTCTTTATAACTACCTAATGATATGGAAAATTACATCCAATACAGTATAATATGTTCTATTGGTAAATTAAACATTAAATAATAAACTCGGCGGCAGAACAAAAATCAGAATTACAGGCAAAGAGATTTGCGATAAGCAAATCTTGCATTATCCGTTTTAATATAGCCTAACTCCATTTCGTGAAACTTTAGACAACACAAATCGAAATATTTGAGCGATTTTTCTCAGCAAACTATAGAACAAATGACATGAGATTACTTAACGTTTTATTTATTGAATTATGACGTCATATGATGATCGATCATGGCCGCTCCATTAACCACAGATAAAAAACAGATTTACTTTCCAAAAATAAAATATTAATAATGTTTTTAATGCAATAAACATATTGTATGATTACTGTTTACTAAGAAGCTACCATAAAAAATAATTTTCATATTTTATTTCTACAACTATCAAATAGCCAATTTGTTTTTTTTTTATAATCTAATGCTGGAGTATGGTCAAAGCTATGTACTCACAACCCGATGGTGCGCTAACATTGTCATTAGTAGTTAATAGTGATATCGGAATACATATGTAAACTATATTGACTATTATTGAAAGTAGTTTTTGTGTAACAATTATTTTCAATAATAATCAGTAGTTAATAAATCTGATTGAATGAATCTTCAATAAACATTTTAAAATTATTTAACATTCATTAATCAACAATAATTTTGCACAACCTTCTCTGTTGAATTGTCTTACTTCTTGTTTTAATATTATTGAAGATTTTTATTTAATCAGAAATATTATCTACTAATGAGTATACAGCTTTAGGAGGAGAAAATTCTCCTGTTGATAAACTTGAGAACTGACTTGTTGATGTAGTAATTAGTGTGTAAGGTCTAAATGTAAGTTGCAGAAATATTGTCTTCTATAAATTGTATTCCAATTTAATTTTTACTTTAATAGAGTGACTTTTTATGGTTGCTTGAGGAGGCAGGTTTTTTTAATATAGTTGTAATGGCTAGGTATTAATCACAAGCTGGCTATGGACCTTGAGGATAAATAAAAAAAAAGTGTAAACAATTATGTGCCATTTTTAACGGCCACTGATAGATTAAAACATTTGTATGTCAAGCAAAAGCATAGCACATTTATGCCTTGGTTTACGTTCTAAAAGCGGAATATTTAGAATGGGAGAGTGTATTATGTAATTTATGTTCATTTTTTTTTCGATAATGTTAAGACATTGAGTATGGAAATCTTTGAAGAATCTTTTTAATTGAGAACTTACTATATTTTAATTTAGTATAATTTTTTTAATTGATTATTCTTCTGGTTTCTCACTATTCTAATATTAGACCAAAAATGTACTTATTTGACATAAATAAATCGAAAATCTTCATTTATGACATCAATTTATTATATGATTTTATACACAATATGTGTGTGACATTGGCATGTTCCTACATAAATTATATTTGTTCTATAAATTAAAATCGGAATCAAGGGAATGTATATTTCAATTATTTATCTGTGTTACACTGTAGTAATAAGTAGTTATATTTTTGTAATGGCAGTAATGTAAAAATAATAATTACACTACTACATAATTATGTTCATAATTCCAGTTTCTTACATTCTTAATTCTATGGGATGGTGCAGAAATAAATTATGCAGATAATCCATTAATTTACAATTCTATAGTAGAAACTGTTTACATTATAATGTGTGTTTCACTGAAAATTACATTTTTACAGACTGAATTTGGTTTTAGTATAATGGGTCCTATCGCTTCTATTTAATGTTTGTATTTTCTATTTTTGCCTACAAGATACATATATGTATTACACAGTACTACTAGAGAAGTTTGGTTGCACAATCTACTTTCTCTAGTAAATAAAAAAAAAAGAATTATGTGCATATCTCTATTCTATCATATCAACTGCTTGAAAGATATATATATATTCTTATTATAGAGAATACAAGTGCTACAAGTGTCTATTAAAAATTTCATAATTATCTAAGCTGTGTTAAATACTCTATAGTTTCAACTTGAGTTGCCTCCAAAATCTGCAATGCATCATATTCACTGTCTAGTTGTTCTAATATCATTGTCTTGTCGTTAATTTCCGCCTGTACAAAAGAAGAAAATACAGTTGCCTTATTTATGTAACTGGAAAGGTCAATAAGTTTATAGACCACCAGACGGAGTTGCTACCGTCGTTTATGTACACAAACAGCACCACCGATATCATAATATCGTCTAAGCCAATCATACACTGCTATCCCAGATGACTAAGATGTTATGCCTCTGTGCTCTTTAATTTCGATGCCTTATTTCATCCTGAAACATCACGGCTGAAATAGGTGAGACAGAGGTAACTAAAGTCTACTAAGGGGGCTCCTTCGTCTAATAACTAAATAGAGATGTGATGGTGAAATAAAAGTTCTGGTTCAAGGTTATTTTTTAAAGCAATTTAAAATTATTTAAATATCTATTTATTTGCGTATAGAATAAAGATATGACTACACAAAAGTCTTCAAAGTTAATCAAATTATATTGATAAAATAAATGAAAAAGTTGATTAAATAAACACGTCAAAATCAGTTCAGTGATAGCGAATATTTAAAGTAGTAAATACGAAGTTACTTTAAACCTGTACATTGATGTAAACTATTTTAAACCAGTTTTCATGCTTACTTGCAATTTTGCTTGTTCTGATTCTCTTTCTTTAGTGATTGATTTCAGAAGATTTGTGGCACCAATTGCTGCCATTTTTTGTTTTTCTACATTGTCACCTAATTCTCTTAATACTTCTAATAATGAATTAATTATTTTTCCAAATTCCTGAACTTCTGTAATAAATAAATTCTCTGCTTAATTATACTAGAAATATACAGTAATTTGATATGAATTGGTTCGTCAGGTTGTTGACTATCCCGGTAACTTAAAAAGTTGCATTAATCCGATGGGAAATATCTCATGGGCATAACAAGCACCTTTACTAGTGAAATAATAACTAACTAGTTTCATAATCTTTGCTGGTCTCTTTTACGTCATCAGTTTCTTTGAGAATTGTTGTTTCCAGAACTCTTATTTTATGGATATCATCGTAATACAAATGTGCCTTTAATAATTCTTCTGCCATAATTTCTTGAGATTGCAGGTAAGTAAAAATTTATAGAATTCCAGTAACGTGGTATATATTATATTATTTTAATGATTCTGAAAATGTAATAGCTGGAATTCTGTTGTTAATAGACACTGTTACTAAAGTGTGTGCAAAGTTGCTAAGCAACCGTGCTTTGTATGCATTTCAATATCTATGTATATCGGTCGAAAATTTGAAACACTCGGTCTCATCTGTTATGTTAAGCGATAATTAATTGCATATATGTATATAATAATATATGTAAGTAATACCTACTGAATACTCTATAGATACGCTATTGTATATGTATTCTTATCACTCATGAATAACATTACAACAGTGTATGAACATATCTAATAAATTGTATCATTTGCTTAGCATACGTTAGACATGGAATATTAAATAAAAAAAATCTATGGTTCAGAGACAAGGAAGAATCCTTTAAAATAAGGTAAGATATATTATTACTCTGCACAACTGTCAACAATGTTAGCAGCTCAAACAGCATTTTTTAATCTTTGCCACAGACCAGGAGCCGTCATTGTCAATGTCAGTCAGCTGTTTTCTCTCTTATTATATTTGTTCTTGTTGTGGTTTTTATTCAATCATTGTTTTGACAAAGTTCTTTTTTAGTAATGTATTTTTTAGAAACCAACTTAGTTACATAGAGTACATTTAAGTATGAATTGACTTGTAGTCTACTTGTGACGGACTAGTAATTACTTTTACGTTTATTTTTTTCATTGTTCTCTCTGCGTAATTTCTGATTTCTTGATAAATATTGTAATAAATAATATCCTAATGTCCATGAGGAATCACTGCTAAGAATATGGAGGGGCTGACTCAAAATGAGAAGATAATATGGTCGTGTTGGGATGAAAAATCACCACGGGATGTTGCAAGAGAAGCTGCCGCGAAAGGCACCCATATCAACTTGGCGATTAAGTATCTAATGGAAAAAAATGTTTGGAATGAGATTACAGCTAAAGATTGGTTCATGGCGGAGGTAAAATATTGTTACATTTCAATGTTTCCATAATAATTCTGTTGTTCATATACTTTTCTATTTTCTATATGCAGCTGTTTTGGCATTTAAGTTTTGTAATATGTTCTATAAATATTGTACACAATGTCTCTGAATCCATAGAAATTATTGATTATCTAATCAAATAAGATGATAGAACTAAATTTTATATTCTTGGACTTTTGGGTTTAATCTGATGTAGGTAGTAAGTTAAAAAATAAAAATTAGACATTAGACACCTAATTTATACAACAAAACAATTTTTTTTATTCTGTTTTTGACTAATAGTTTATTATATTTATTTATAATATATATTAATGTAATTACCCTACAGATAAGTAAAAAAAATACTAAAGAGTTAAATTACTTATTTGTTTTTATTATTCAAATTAGTATGATTTCTTATTTTTAATTTATAAATAAACACACACATTGGTAAAGACATTACATTTTTCTTCATTATTATTTTGCATATAACTGCATGGCTAAATAAAATTTCTTATATTTAATTATGACGACCTATGTGGTCTAGCACACTGCTTTACGATCAATGGTTGCGGGTTCAATTCCTCGCACAGCACAAACATTTGTATTCATGAGTGTGATTGTTTGTATCGGTCCAGGTGTTTTCCATGTATAGGTAGGTTGGACTCCATTTTCCGCAATTGGCCTCTCATTCGGGCCGTTGTGCGTGTAGAAAATGTATATGTATCAGTTATCTAGTATCCATAACACAAGCTTTAGCTAGCTTAACTTGGTTCTAGATGGCACCGTGTGAATTGTCCTGAGATTATTATTATAATACTGATGTAGTTAAAGGTAATGTCTTTAATATTTTTTTTTTTTAGGTCAAAGCATGGACAGTCCAACTTCTGATGAGAAAACAGATATTCAAAGTACTTCATATTTTAAACAAAGTGCAGGTAAATCCTGAAGAACACTTAATGACATTAGCTCAAACTTCTGCCCAGATTCAGTATAGAGATTTTATAGTTGAACATATAGAAAAACTATCAAAAGATATATTACCAGAAAATATTAATAAGTGGGAAGACTTTAAACGACACTGGAATTTATTGAGATATTTGGAGAAATCATTTGAGGTTGATGGTACATTTAAACAAAATAAAGTTTTTGGTACCGGTACAGACAGAATAATAGTCAATGAGAGTGAAATCAAAGCTTTGACAATAGAGAATATAGAGAAGTATCCTGCAAATTGGAAAAGTAAAATTTCTACTACTCTTTTCTTTGATACCTTTGGTAAGATGTATTTTATAATTATTGAATATATAATAATAATATATTTTATTAAATTAATTATTTAATTTCTAAATGTTATTTTTATAGATCTCATACAACTGTAAAAATTATTTCCATATTTTTATTTTTTAATTGACTGATCATTATTGTTATTTCAGAGTTTTCACTGTTAGACTTCTCGTCTCCTCTTGAAGTTTGGAATTATTTGGTAGAACATAATAAAGCTATGGTCCTTGTTCGATGGATTAATGTACAGACTTCAGAAGTGGTCCGTGACATGAATGCGCGCTATAATTTCTTCAACAATGACAATTTTTCAACAAGAATGCTTAATGTTGATACTAAAGGGTTTGACAGTCAAGTACTTGAGAGATTAGACAAAATCTTTCGTAATTGGCCTATTAATAATGAAATGATAAACAGTGTTTCTAAAAGTAATTGTTATCCATATACAAAAATGTGTATTTATGATACATTATGCTCATATGGAATTGTGAATGATGATGAACGTAACAATTTGTACCAAATGATATCTAGATTAGCCCGTACGGAGAATTTAAGACTCATAGAAGACATTTTTACAGAATCATGTTCTACAGTAACCAAACAGCAATTTTATGTTGAACTTGCAAAATACTGTGTGAAAAACAAGTTGTATAAGGTACTCACAATGTGTGTCGAAGGAAACATATTAGATACAGATCTGTCAGATGTTGAACAGAATGCTAAAGATTGTATTGAACTATGGTTATTATTCAAAAGTATTGAACAAACTTCAGATCGACAGAGTCATGTACTGCCAGTTTATAAAACTTGCCAACAAATAGCTAAATCTGATATTGACGAATACATTTCGTCAAATCCACATTTAGTTCTTGGTATGATTTTACTAGAGGACAATGCAAAATTATTTGATATATTTTCTAAAGATGATTTTTTGCAATTCAAGGATTTTAAATTGCCAAATAAAAAATATAAAGATAAACTTCCCCATTTGCATAATGTTTTTAAGAAATTTAATGATGAGAATCAAACATTTGATATAAAGGATGTTAACGTTTATCAATTGCTTTCCGGTTACCGAGGTTTAGACGTGTCAAAAATATTTGAATTTCAATTAATGAATCAAAATACCAAAAGTCTCATCTCTGACAAACCTGATAGGCGGAGTCTGGGCAGTCTATTATCTGATGACATTGATGTCAATGCAACTAGTATAAAAACATTATCTCAAAGACCCATAGATATGCCAGACTTTGCAAATGAAAAGCTTATGAAGAGATATGGGTATGTTGCAAAATTAAATCATGTATACTATTTAAAACAATATCGCCCTTGTAATGCAAGTCAGGCGTTTGTCTCTCAGCAATATTCAACATACAATCGTCTTCAGGATAAGAGTATTAAAAGCGCTTGCTGTGAAGCGCACGCGTTGGCTTTACAGAACTGGTCTGATCCCGCCATGGCCGCCTGCGCGATATCTTTTGTTGCCATGATTGGTTGTAATCCGACACGTTGTAGGGTTCACATGTCTGCCGCTAAAATGATAAAAAACCACTTAACTTCATACAAAGGTGCATCGGAAGACAAGGCGAATAGCATTGTCAATGAGTATATGTCCAAGCTGATTCAGAGTAACGAAGACGTCGCACGTGATATACTACGCCACCTTGAAGAAATAACGATGTATAAGTTGCGAAAACAACAAAGTACTGATGGCAAAATTGATATGGCTACAGTTTTGTATGAATCCCAATCAATGGTGAAATTTGCTTTTTTACATGGTTTGCCTCTGCCAGAGATGCTATTGAGGGAATTCGTTAAAACTAACTCTTGGTTCAATTTCCTCCTATTTGGCGACGTATTTCGGTACCCACTTCATCAGATGTTGCAATTATCGCAGGAATTTGAAAATAAATCGTATTCAGAGCACTTAAAATATATAATGCTTCACAAGAATTTGGACGATGGATCTGAGAGAGATAATAAATCTAGTTCCAGTAATGGACAAAGAAGAACGTCCAGACTGAATTCTACAGATTCGGTGAGTTGATTTACTTATGATAGTACTTGGATAATTTGTTTGTTGAAGTTTCATAATTTCTTTAGAATAATATATTATGAATTTGGCTGTGCAAACACTACTGGATAATTTAAGAATCACATCCTTCTTAGATAGGTTTTCACTAAGAAGTAATAAATACAAATTTGCCAAAATCTAAACATATCATCCATATACGCCACGCTTGTATTTAATTTATGTATCATTATAAAAAAACTATAGTAGTACAGTACATAAATTGCTATTTGCGATTTATTGCCACCATAATTTTTTATAAATATATATAACATTTCCACAAGTTTACGGCTATAAATCGGGTATCGCTTGATTCCTCTAATCTAACGACGCCCCATTTATATCCCTTCAATCCACGCATTTTGCCATACGTATAATACAAGTTATATAATATAGTTGTATAAAAAGGGTGAGAAAAAAGTTTTGATATTTGAGTTTTTCTCTAGTTATTTTTGATTGCATATATAAAATGAATTAGATTGCAGGGAAAAAGATAATAAAAATAAAACTCGACATGGAAAAAAATAAGCTGCTAAAATAATAGAAATAAATGATTTTTGGATTTCAATATAGGTGTCACAATTGTATGTCGCCAGAGCCCGTCGCAGGCGGTCGGCGGCGGCGGCGGCGGCGGCGGGTGGTGGCGGTGGGAGCGGGCGGCGGGCGGCGAGCTGTGGGAGGCGGCGGCGGCGTGCCACGGGCCCGAGGACCCGCCCGCCGCGCTGCTGCGGGCCGCGCGCCGCCGCCGGGAGCCGCTGCTGGCGCTCGTCGCCGGCTGCTACGAGGTCTGCACTACTCCTTAATACAGTGTTGCTTATTTGTGAACATGTTTTGACATGCCACATAGCGTCGTCTAGTATCAAATTGGAGAATTTGTACTGTTGCTAAATCTTTACAAATATTATATGCGAAAGTAACTCTGTCTGTCCCGCTTTCGCATCGAATCTACTGAACCGATTTAAATGAAATTTGGTACACAGATACACAGCCCTAAGAAAGGACATAGACTAATTTTTAATGCAAAAAAGGGTTGTGAGTGGTGGAAACGGGAGATGGAAATTGTATGGAAGTATTGTCATTTTTAAAGCTAGAAAGCTTGTAACATATTTTTTAGGCAGTTGATTAAATGTAAATAAATATGACATTCGAAGTTTGTAAACCCTTAATCATAATAATTAGTCAAATAAAATAGGGGATGAATTGAAGTAATTTTTGAAGCTAGAACGATAAAACTTTTTTCTATGACGTTTTTGTAGTTTCGTTATCAAATATTATTTATTTATTTGGTAAAGGTCACTATTTCACGCGGATGAATTCGCGGGCAGAGCTAGTAACTAATAAACAAAAAGTACATTCAGTTGAATTAAAACAGTTGTACTTATGAATACAGAAATGTTTGTACTCGTAAGTTTTTTTATAAATCTCCATCACAATGGAAACATCGAAAAATCCGAGAGACGGCGGTGGGCTCGCCCATTGTCACGTTGGATTCGTGTATATCGAGCAAAATCTGGGCATGTCAAGTGTTGCCTGCTCGCCGACTCTGACTATCTGGTATAACAGTCGTGAAGGTCTATTTATGTGTAAGTCTGTTACTTTATAGCCAAACGCTGTGGATGTGCTTTGGGTGCAATGGGTGTTATCATCCATTGGGTCAACTGAGCAAGAACTAATATTCTCGGATACGTCACAAGAGGTCCCCGCTGAACAATTTCAGCGTGTGGCCGAACTCTGCCTGCGGGAAGGCTACATATCCACCTTACATGAATCTATGCTTATATTCATGCCAGTAAGTTATCATATATTTTTTTAAATTATAATAATTCAGGTTTTATTGCATATAACCGTATTTCATTTTATTTTTTATCGAAAACTAGTGGCGTTAGCGACTTAATATTGATATTTTTTTGTGACACCAACAAAATATACAATATATATGTACATATACTATATATATATAGTCGATTTAACATGAACACGAATTTTTTCATTTAACATTTCCTCTTTATCTGTTGATGTACTTTTATTTATATTTAACCACATATTATATGAAAATTTAATCATACATTCCCCAGACATTTTTACTTGAAACATACACAGATATTTTGTGTCTCGACACAATTTTATAATTTTATTATATGTAAAGATAAAGAATATAATGTGTTTTTTTTTTTTAAATTAAGAAATTCAGAATTACTTACCAGTCGTGTAGAAATCAATATCGTCCGTCATTGCATATTAATTATATTTTATTTTTCTAGGAAAGTCCTCTTGCACTACTAACATCATTCCTTCTTCGATGTATCCGCCAACGTAATTTCGACTCTGATACCGTGAAAATACTGACCAGTTTTCTACAGCACTGTCAGCGCAAATACAGCAATGATAAATCTGGTCTTGGTTGGCAACTATCAAAAGATGCACTACAAAGAGTCGCCGTATCTCTAGTCAAAATAGCCCTCAGTCAGTGCTTTGATAGTGCATTCCATCAAAGAGAGTTTTTAAGATGTTTGTCCATAGCGCAATTTGACAAAGGGTTTACAGGTACGAGATGTTTTTTAAATTATGTATTTGTTTATTTAAGGTCAAACGTTAAAAATAAGGTTCAGAGTACATTTAATACTTTGTATCGTGGATTCATTGTCGACTGTTAAAATTCGACTATAAATTAAATTAAGATGAACATTACATTATTTTAGCATTTTATTGAGGGGGTGTTACAAGAGATAGATATTTTACGGAAATTTTAATTTAAAAAAATTAGGAGGTATGTTTTTGTTTGTTTCATGTACTTAGTATCTAAAAACCATTTTCCAAAAATGAATTTTTTATATTTTTAAAACTATTGGCATATAAAATGATATTTATGTTTCCTTAGGCATATAGTGTTTACATACGTATCTATATATGTACTCTTATATCACTTATATTTTTTCAGTGCCAACTCCGAATTTCGGTGTTCTATACGAAATACTTCAAATATCTATGGAAACGTCGTCGGTTGTGAACATATCTAAAATGATGCAATCCGATGCCGAACAATATTTATCGGAGTGTGTCGAGATGTACACTAACGATCGCAGCTACGACGTCGCTCTCAAAATAGCCAAGCTTGGTAACTTGCCTGTGAACAACATATTGAAAGCCGAATGGACCAATAAATACGAAACAATGCTCTCAAACGAAGAGTTAACTTTAGATGACAAACATTATACTCTTTATATTGCACAGTGCAGTGAAGCTTTTAAAAAGGCATCTGTTTCTTTCCAAGATTCCACAGATTATTTGATCGCTTATGCCGAGCACATAACAGATAGTGTTCAGAAATTCTATTCTTATAGAATAATCATGAGTTGGTTCGAAGATAATCTCGAGTATGGTTGTAGAAGAGAGGAAATAGAGCATCGAATGTGGGACGCATATTTCCAAAGTGAGGTACAAACAGATATATTTCTCAACAGTTATGAGAGCACTATTCATTTTGTATTGAATGGTCAGAAAGATGCGACTCTTTCAAGGAAGATTGGCTTAATACATATGGAGAAACCTTTCTCTTCTACTCTGAGTGAGATAGAGATTGCATCTGACGTTGGTAATATTGAGAATGTAGTTTTGCTGGATGATTCCGACGCCGTCGATAGCTGGAGGAGAGTTATGAATGAACTTCTCGAGATGCGACTATTGGTGGATGCATTCCGTTTATCTGCTTTATTTAAGACACAACCTGAATTTAGATACAGACCGCCAGCTTGTCCTGTACAGATCATACGGACCTGCCTGAAGTTGGCTGAAGGGTTGTGCACGCCATACGATCTGCCACAGGAGTTAAGATTAGTGATATCGTCGCCGTTGCTTCAAAATAAATTAACAGGTAAATTTTAGGTTTCTTATTCGTATTTTGAATTATGTTCAGAGCATAACTGTTAAATTCCTTAATTGATTATGATCTGAGCAATTTATTTGAAGTCCTCAGATGAGCTTTGTCCTCTTTCTACTCACAAGGCAACCTTATTATTGCGTTTTTTTATAAGGGGATCCCAGGATGGATCCTAATTGTTGACGTCAAAAGTTAACATGTGGATATATCATGAGAGATTAAATAGGCGGTTGATGGCAGTGTCGGGCACATCAGATGCGAGCTTCGAGGAGTTAGTGGTGATCCAAGAGAAGCCGGACAGCTCCCCGGAGAGCTCCCACTTGGCGGCTCGCGAGGAGGCCGACCGGCTGGCCGCGTTGGACGCGCTCGCTCTCCGTTCCGCCCTTGTCCTTGCCAAGCAGGTATTTCTCAATCAATTTCAAAACTCACTAAATTCTTCTAAATTATTCGTTCCGCCACGTGATCTTCTGTTGTGATTTTTAATTTTATCATATACGTAAAGACCTTTTCATGTTTGTAACAATATTTATTTATCTACTGACCACTATACATGTGTATGTATGTGTATGTAAATAAATACACAAATACTTTTATCTACATAGGTGCTTATTATTAAATATATTTTTTAATTCGAAATATTTATATTTTTTTAAAACCAGGTTTATTTTAGTTTCAGTGGCAGTGTATTACACTACTACAAATTAAAAACCTATTTAAGTCGATTTGCCTGCAGTTTTATACATAGTACCGTTTTTTTTAATAGATAGATTTTTTTATGAATGAATTGTAATGCTTGGATTTTTATTAGGTTATTATTATCTTGCCATGATATTTAAAGGGTACATTTCCAATATCATGACAAGTGATATAAAACACATTACTATGTTTATTTTTTTTATTCATTTTTGTACAGATCGCCAGTTACTTCCGTATAGCGTTGCAAATAGGGTGGGACTACAAATCCGTGCTCAAGTATCAAAGCCGTTCTCTCGATTTCATTAACTTAGTGAGTGGCAGAGCTCGTATGTCACTAGCGAATCTTGTATTCAAGACATTCAATTTACCAACAAAGCAGGTATGACATTTCTTAATAATTTAATTTATATACATCTAGATACTTATTACAACATTATAGAAAGTTCAAATTAGTGAAATTATTATTGGAAATATAATGTATTATTTTAAATTATATCAGCAAAAGATTCTAATGTGGTTTTGAAACCTTCAAATACAACATATCTTTAAATTGATTAACAGATGTAAATAAATAGAAGTATAACTCGGCTACAATTTTACCAGATTTCAGAATTCCTTTGCCACGAGTTAGTAGCAGCCATTATTTCGCCCCACCTCGTCAAAACATCAACATTTAGACAAAAAGAACATTTTCAATATACACTATGGGGTTACTCTCTCAGTTCAGATATGGAAATGTTTTTGAACCTGCGACCCGACGCTTGCAGTCAGATCGGCCAGCTCATTCTAGATCACTTGGTAGCCTTCCAGAAGATATACAAAGCAACAGCCTCCACTTCGTTCCCTGAGAATGCTGTAGATGACAGTTGTATGGACGTAGAAACGTTGATCGATGACGAATATCAGAATATAGAAAGCGATGGAGTCGAATCTGTGCTAACCGAGGAAGGAACTCTAATGTCTGTTGATACGGAGTCGATTTTTTCCGTTTCGACGGTTTACACTGCTGGTATACGCATGTCGAGAGAGACTAGACGGAATCTATTCGATGTTATGACGAGGAGTAACGTGCATATACGTTATGAAGTTAAATCGAATGTAAGGAAAGTGACCAAAGGCGCTAAACTCTCGTCGAAACAGGTAAGATACGGGGTCAGCATTCTCGAGGTTACCATTGCTGTACAAAACTGATCTAATTTAGTACTCAATCAATCAGATGTGAATTCACTTAAAATTTTGTGTTTTGTAATTACAATCGGTTTATAGACAAAAAAGTTATACAGGTACGATGTCGTGGGCTTGCAAGGTGAAAGTTGGCAGGACTGTCGTACGTTTTTGTCTCTTGGGGCCACACAGGCATTGTTACGAATTTTATGGATGATTAAGAAATGGTACACCCGCCTGCGCTGTCGGTTTATGCTGATAGGGCACTAAGATGAGTCCGAGTCATGTCAGTCCTAGGAATTTATCAATATATGGTATATGTTTGTGAGTTTTGAAAGTGTAGCAATGTTTGCAGGTGAACATAATAAGCATAGAGCTGCTGGTGGTGGCTCACGAGTGCTTCTCGTGCGCGTGCGACACGGAGGGCGTGGCGGTGGCGCTGCGGTCTGCGCAGGCGCTGGCCGGCCGCCTGCTGCTGGCGCGCTCCTGGCGGCTCATGGTGCGCCTGCTCACCGGCCTCGCGCGCTACCAAGAGTGCGCCTACATCTTTCAGGTACCATCCGCGCCCACAGGGAACCTAAGTAGCTAAGTTAAATAGGCGAGTGCCATATTTGGAGGACTAAAAAAAATGTCTGGTCCAGCGGTTTAGCACACCGCCTCGCTTGCGATGGTCGTGAGTTCGATTCGCACGGTACAAACATTTGTATGAATGAGTATGATTGTTTGTATCAGTCTGAATTTTACATATGTATGTTATGTATGTATTTACAAAAAAAAAATCTAATGTGAATCTAAAATGTGAATTGTTTTGTACTCTGTGTATTATCCTAATATATTATTATTGATAAGATACAACTATTACTAAGAACACTTTTAACTATTAAAATAAAATAAATGTATTTCATCACTGTTTGCCATTTTGATGATGCTTTTTGTCTTCAAATGTTTGTTGTCATGTTGATTCTCTGCTAAATTAATTAGTAGTACATTTTAGCATAACTAATATTCTTGAAGTTTGTTTTAATTACTCGATTTTCTTTGCAGGCATTACGCGATCATCATCAGTTCGAGTTCCTCCTTGGGCAATTCGACTACATGCTTGGTCAACAGTCTGATAAAATCGCAGAATTCAAACAAGGACTACTCGACTTTTTGAAAACACACTGCCCAGGAGATACCGAGTCGTACATAATGGTTGCGCTACACTTCAACATGTACGCCGAAGCAGCTAACGTTAAGAGGAAACAAGCTTTAGATTTGATCAAGGACTTGGAGAAGATGGCATTAGATGGCGCTAGAGCGGCGTCGAAGAAACCCTTCAAGGCTCCTATGTGGTTATTAATCCATGACACTGTACCGACCAGGTCGTTACTAGAGACTGCATTGAATCATTGTACGGATGCATCAGAGTTGTATCTCCAGGGTGGATGTATGGGTTTCGCCGGTGATATGGCGACTTTAGCGCAACAAATCGCCTTACAGATGTCGATATTGAACGCTTCGCCAACGAGGCTTATACTAAATAGGAAAACGGAACTGCTGTACAAACTTGTCAGCGAGTACTTGACGTAAGTGTGCCTATTTTTTTGTAAGACCAATTTGTAAGATATTTTATCTGGTTGACAGTTTATTACAGGGTTTGAAAATGAGAAGGTAGACATATAAACCACTGTACAGGATGCGATGCATGTGTCTTGGAACAAGTGAAGTGTCCTAATAATATTCCTAATGATGTCGGAGTACAAAATTTTCGATTTTAGCATATATGTCTATACGGACGCATTATGTACGTATTGTACAGATTACATATCTTATACTTACCTACATTATGTTATACTACCAATCTGAATCTAAATTGTAGTCTAAAATGTGTCTTCTAATGATCTTCAGAATTTTGAATTTACACTACTGATAGTGTATAATTTTGTGGTAAAAGCTACTAAACACTGCATTGGTATTCTATCTTTTAAATACACTTTTTACACACACAAAGGGACTAACTAACCTAGTTAGGTTAGTTCTGTCCTGAGGAGATGAAAACCATCGCTCCTAAGAATATCCTTCAACTCTTGTCCCTGACGGGTCTAGGTAGCGATCTATGCAGGTCGTAGGAGCTGCTACAGGTTAGCATCTGACATTAACCCAAAAGCCTCAATAAAAAATAAATAGTTCTATCCTCTCAACACGTATGTGTCTGGATCTGAAAGCAAATTGTGTTTTACACACAAGATTTAATATGGCGTTGTTGTATTTCTGTATGTAACCACTGTATATGTACGATTGCAGGTTTATGGAGGGGCTGGTGATGATGTCAGGACGCGGCGGGGAGGCGTGGCGGGAATTGGCGTACCGCCGCGCACTCACCAACGATCAGGCTTTCCTGCGGGACATGGCAGCGTATCGACCAGACGTTGCGTTGCAGTTCCTTGCCAGGTGTGTAGGATTCTTCATTTTATTGTTTTGAATTGAAATAATTATACTTAAATTGGTGAAAGGATCAGAAGCACCACTGGAATTGTAATTTTAATAAGAATCAGTTTTTTAATTATTTAAACAGGCGTTGTGTGAATATTGTTGTACGATATGTTACTGCTCATTTTTATCTACTAGGTAACATTAACAATTGTTTTTTTTTAATCATTGAATGTATTTTATTCATAATATAAATATTGAGTTTTTTTCTTATATATTTCTCAGGTACAAGTTAGAGAAGAACAAAACTGCTGTATCTGAGGCCGCCATGACTGAGCTCAACAATCTTTGTAGATGATATAAATTAAAACATTAAGATCTCTTACTTCTGATATAATGCTCATTACTTTCCAGAATTCTAATATAAATATAATTAAGTAATTTTCTATTATGCCAAAAATTTTATTATATTATGTAAAATGCTTCTTTGATTAAATTTTTATATACGATATTAATCAAATTATATTTAAACTAAATCATTATTGTTTCGCTGTGATATGTATAGTCAATTGACTGAAGACTATGTAATGTATATTTTTATAACTTATTAAATGAAATATCAGTTGTTTAATAAATTGTTTTTATTTCAATAATAATATTATAAGTCATGCAAATATCACATATTGTATTAAACGCTCGAGAGGAAATACGAAGAGTTATAAATAGAAAATTGGCTACCATGATTGCATCTTTAAATTAGGAATTCTAAATAAATTGAAAGAAATTATATTAAGTACAAACTATACTAACGGATTTTATACGCCTAGAATTTATACAAAAATAGTTAATACGTTTCCATTGAGTATAAATTATGATGATTAATATATTGAATATGGCGTAATGCAACATTGCAATGCGTATAAAGTCCATCTAAATTTCATATTTATAACTTGTATAAATGTGAAGGATATTAATAAAAATAATTATAAATTACTAGGAAATGAAGACTGTAAAGTACATAATTTTTGAAATTGAATTGAATCGTTTGTAACTCTCGCTGTACATTAATTTTATATCAACGACTTGTGCTCTCAAAATAAATATAAAGATATAAATAGAAGTTTCTTATTTGTTTAAAAAAAAAAGTTACATAATAAATTAGCAAATGATTGATTATTCAATCATAACATTTCCATAAAACTTTTACACATATTATATTAGTTAAATAAACAGATCTAAGAAAAAGCATATACGCACGAAATGAAAAAGTGATAGCTTAAATAGGTAGTTAATTATCATTAAAGCAATATTATTTTATAGCTACTCTTAATTATGGCACAATATTGTAGCGGAAATAGATGCCAAATAAAAGCAACGAGTTCCTGCAGAAGTATCGCATTAAATCTTAAAACTAAATATGTTCTTATTTCTATCCGACTCTTTAATAATAAAAATAATCATCGCCGATTCAGATGTATAATACTTGTTATCTGTTTCATTATCGCAACTACCACCAAAATTAATATAATACGTTAATTACTAAATATATTTTGACTTAGATCGAATAAAATTATTGACATAATTAGGCACTCACTAACAATTATATTATCAACGATTTGATGTAGAATAATATAATACTGTTATATTAATTAATTAGATATACCGTTTCTAAATTAAAAATAATTATTGTAATGTATTTTGAAAATATATTGTTCTTTCAAAATACAGTACAATAATTATTTTTAATTTAGAAACGGAGAAATTTACGTATTCATAAAAAAATATATCATAATTTTGTTTATTATCAGATCTTGGGGATTTATAATTAAAAGATCTCATATGAGTACTGAACTTTTAGTGTATATAGTCCCAACACGATTTAAGGCCACACCGACATTTGAATTGTGTTTATTGTCTATTTAAGGCAACTCGTATAGTTCTGGCTCTGCTTGTTCGGATCTCATAAACTACTGTTTTAACAGCGTCGTAAACATTTTCGGGTAAGTGATCAAGCAACATCCGTGGCATCACTTGAATTTCATTGAAGTCCTCAGCCGCCGCCCATCGCATGCTGTATTTTGGTTCTTGCTTACCCGATTTTCTGTACAGAAATTGTGTTTTGGTAAACAAAAGCAAATATTAAGATCTGTCACTTGAGAGGTTCGAGTGGTCTTTTTTGTATTAATGAATATATTAGGCTGGTAATATAGGTACAGTCGGTAAGTCGTAAGGTTGCCCGAATGTGAATAACTTTCTTCAATTACGTAACGTTCCAATTGAGGCATTTTGTAGCTATGTGATCAGGCTAATGTCTGACTATACAGAAGCCTTGATTAAACACACTAATGCATGTTAGCTATGATTTCCTCCTTATATTCAAACGGGGATCGAAATTACGATAGCCTTCACCCTGAACCTTTCACGGCTGAATCATATAACAGCTATGTGATTATAGCGTGATAGCTGTTCAAAATAAGCTTACCTGTCAGATTGATGTCGTATGATATGAAAGACTCGACCACCGATATATAAACGCTCGGTTTCCTGAAAAAATATTATTGTCAATAAATATTTATTATTATTTATTGTCAAATAAAATATTATATTACAATATATAACATATTTCATATAGTGGCTTAGTTATAGTCTTAACTACATTTTATAAATAAGTATTACCTATTTATCGCGTAGTACTAATAAATCCAAGAACCAGACAATAACTGAATATGATTCATCTAGTGGTCAATGGTTCATACCTGCGTATCTAAGTATACTAATATAAAACAGAGAAAAGTTTAAGATTATTTTGTATGTTTGTAATGGAAAAACTAACAAAATACTTGACCTATTATTTGTTCATCTATAGATTATTAGACCTATCCATGTAGGTATATAGGCAGCGACAAGGGATACAGCTAATAAAGATTAATTTTAAAGAACTATTGTCTATTATATATCATTGTGGTTATGAGGGAACAGATTAACATATATATATAGTTCGGCGTAGTTGAGTAAAAAAATCCCATTTTTTGCTAATTTCTTATTCATACTAATCTTTCATAGAGTCTATTTTGTGTATAAACAACAAATTTCAATTTTGTAAAATAAAAGTAAAATAAAAATCCTTGTCATGGCGATAATAAGGTAAAACCTATGAAATAGGTTTACCTTATTGTCACACACAAATACACTGCTTGGTAACAATACCTACTAAACATCGGGCCGTTACATTTTTATTATTTTTATTATTAAAATCTGATACACTTTAAAATTTTAAGTGAAGTTTTATTCTCAGTCATTTTCCAGTGAGGAAAACATCTATAATTAACCATAAATGACTGAGAGATGGCATTAGGCCCTCCATTTGGCACTAGCGAAATGTGGACAAGTAAGTGTTGCGTTCACTACTACCTCAAACAGTTGACAAGGCAACTGAATACACCACCTAAGTTAATATTTGTGACGATATATTATTATTATTATTAGACTGCTCACCGGATAGGCTCTTGGTAAGTTGGGACTACTCAACAGGTAAGCTTCCAAATTGTCTGGATTTTTCCATGTAGCGTCGAGGTCGCTCTCAGGTATTGAAGTGAAAGCATATTTGATGCTTTTTAATATTATCCTATACTGTAATAAACAAATCAATGTAATATTTTTATCTAATAACTATTTAAGTGGTAGGTACATTTAAAATTGTAGATGGTTTCTATAGAAATATTTTGCAATTTACCTTTGGTAACCTAGTTGCGTGTAATGACTGAATTAGTTTATCCCTACAGTCTTGTACGCTGAGCACACCCAGCCTCATGACGAGGTCATCTCCAAGTCCCACAGTCATAACAAAGCTCTCTGTATATTTAGCTGCTTCACGACTTAATAATCCCGCTGGAATATAAAATTGCATAAAAAATATTGTCTAATAATTTTACAAATAATATAAATGTTTCTGTCTGTCTATTCGTAACGTCTTCACAACTAAACTCGACACGTTAACACGAGGAAAGAACACAGGCTTTTATCTAAAAAAAGTATATACAGAACGATTATTTTAATTCTTTCTGTCTAATTAGGTTCATAATTTATAAGAAAGTCATAATAAGTACACAATAAAATAGTTTGGCACTTCATTCCAGCTTACCTGGACCTGAGAAGGAGAATACCTTGACATTGGGATATTTAGGTTTTAATAATATTCCCAGTAGTACAGCTACTGCAGCGCCAAGACTATGTCCTAAAAAATAACATTAATTTTACTATTAATACTAATTCTATAAACAATACTTAAATAATTCTTAACAAAGAAGAATAATAATTGATTCGAAATAACGTAGATGGTTTAATACGTACATAGTTGTCCAATAGAATTCAATACTTCTTCTATCGATACATAAAAGGATTTAGGGTGGTCATATCATGTAACCAAGTAAATTTAAGCCTTAAGTTTACGTCAATTAAGATCATACTTAAACGTTTTAATAAATCCACTACTTCTAATGGAACATTGGCAATAATTTAATTGCACAATACGATTTATTTAAAAAAATATTTGCTTGAATAATAAATCGTGAGTTGCATCGTGTGAGAGAAAATAAGAAATCGTGGGTGTTTTTCTCATCTAATTCAGATGCTAAGCAGCTTGTTTTGTAAGCTGTATTTCAGTTGTAAGGGTCTGTCATGGTACTGAAATTACAGGATACAGGGTGTGTCCCCATGGCACCTATAGCAACAGCAAGTCATGAGAGGTGCATATATGTGCATGCAACGGTTACCAGTTTACATCAGGTGGAATATTTGCCATATCAGTGAAAAAAGAAAAATGGAAAATTTCTTCAAAACTCGACTATCTTTTAATATACCTCTAGGTACATATGTTTACCTGTGACTACAAGATTGTAATCTGGATATGTTTCGAAAGCTTTTTCTAGCACAGGCTCCACGCTCTGCATAGTTTTACTAGCGCCTAACGCCATACCTTTATGAGCTCTACTTCCTTCTGGCAGTCCTTTTGAAACAAGTATACATTAAGGTTACACGCAGAAAGTATTAAATGAGAAAGTAATTATAGACTTTGCAATATGTAGCATTTTTTATTCAAGTGGCCATCCATAAAGTATTTAAAATGATTTCATAATATTTGGTTCTCTCTGGTCCGTGTTAAAACTTGTCAACTTGAAAGTCCAATATAGCAGCCCAATAAAACACTTTTACCTATATAAAACTATAGGTATTTGATGTTTCAGGATGTATTATTTAAGGACAATGATCTTAAACTTCAACTCGAAATACTTAAATACCTACTAATTTTGAAAATACCAACCAAAAAACAATCAAAACCAATAACTAACTACCAGTCAATTTGGTGAATGCTAGTATCGTTATCGCTATCATAAGATGATGGCTATGATTCATGTATTTATTGCAAAGTCGTTATGTTTATTATTAAGTCCATCTTATTTGAGCTCGCAAAAATAATAGTAATAATAATTTTGAATAAGAGGAGTGCGCTAGAGCTAAGTATTTAATGCTAAAATATTCAGTAAATAATAACTAAAATAGTAAGTAACAGGTATATTTTAAGGTACACTTGTGTGTAGCAGTTGTCTGCTACTTATAAATATAATATGATTTGTCTTACCCTCAACTTTAAATTCCTCGCTGCCGCCTGCCAAGTCTGTGAACATATCAGGGAACGAAATTGTTCCACGTATTGTTACTACAATACTCTTCTGTTCATGGACGGCTACTACGTAATACGCTACCTGCGAATAATTTTAAATTAATAAATGACAAAATAAAATATTTCAAGTACTGATTAAAATTATAGTTCTACAAGTCCCAACGTGGGTACATAATTTTTTTTTCTCAGGAGTAGCAATAATCCAGGCCAATTCACTTAGCGCTATCTACTTCTCGTTTTATCGTGCGAGGAATCAAACCTGCGACCTTGGGAAGTAAAGTGTGCTAAACCACTAGACCACCAAAGCCATCAAAATAACGATCAATCTTTAAAAAAAATTACAGAAACAAAACTAACTCTATTTATGTGTAGATAGTTTATAGTATATTTCTGTATAAATAGGATAGTATAATATAGTTTAATGAAACTGGAATGGCCGCTTACTTAGGTATATGAAGGGTGATACTGAGGCACGTCATTATATAATCCAGTAATAGGTTCATTCATGCCTTTCCGAAGAGCTATGATATACCTTCGTGTTCTTTCTATATTGAAACAAATAATGCAAACCAACCTCAAAGACTTTGTTAGTGAACGAAAGATAAATGATATCCGAGTCGTCCACTTTAGATATAGTTTTAAGGCCAGCATAATTACACATGCAGCAGTTGTCACCTTCCACTTCGACTTCGGTAGGTCTGCAGGATAATATTGTAAATTAATTTATTAAAATAAAGTAGTTTAGTTTGGTAGTTTGGCGTCAGGGTCAGATTTTTTTTTGAAAGAAGGACTTGATTGTTGGAAATGATGATTGTTAGTAATATAGACTGTAGAATGATGACCCCATTGCTAGCGACTGTCAGGTTGACCTCCACGCGGATGCCTCTTGAAATCGTTATGGTAAATTCTTGGTGAAATTGTCACGTTGGGGTAACTGCTCTGACCTCATGTTCATCCCATCATCATCCACTGGTGGCCAGTCAGCGTAAAACTGTTAGCGCAGATGGGTGCACCATTCCATTATTGTAGGTACATTACAAAAAGTACGTTGAACAAAATCTTTATTTCGATATCCTTCAATATATGTTTGACTATATATAGTTGATAAATTGCAGCCTTGAGCGTCAATAATAAAAATTCTTGCTACTTTATGTTAGTAATGGGGAAATCGTCATATACCTATTATTTTAAATAGTACACAAAAAACTACAATAAAGTTCTTTCCTTTCAAATTATATTTATTGACTAGATAAAGTATGGTATAAAAATTAAACTAGTAGGTGTCTAATAAATAACTCAACTATTATTTATTATGCTTTATAACGATATATTTAAATTAATTTTCTTTATAATAAAATTGGTAACTGCTCGGATGTCATTATTGTACAGTATTCTTTTTTTTAAGTATAAGACGGTTTGTATTACTGGATACAATCCATATCTACGCTCTCGCTTATCTATGTACATATATGGAAGTCTAGTGGTCAACATATAAATATATTTACTTTTCCCTCAGATAATCTCTACAAACTACATACAAACCCAGTCGCTGAATTACAACTGTTTGCACAAAGTTCAAGGCTATCCATTTATATGCGCTTATAGTAAGTATCTATAGATAAGATATAAGTAATATTATATGGCATTATAATGTTATAGAATTACGAAGGCTTAACTTCTCATTGAACACTGGAGCGGTGCAAAAATAAAGAGCAGTCCAAAGAAACATATGGTCGACCAAACTGTAGGACAGGAATCGTAATTAAGGTTATAATAAGATGGCTTTTGTCGTAATGCTTATCATAAAATATAGGGCGGATCTAAATTATTCGAGTCCTATTCTACAATATAGCTATTATATATCTATCTTATAGAAGTTGGTAGGTTGGTAGGTACTTCTACAACTTGGTGGGTTGTACTTGTTTTATCGTAGCAATATTTATTTGCCGCTAACAGGATAATGATAATTTTATATTTTTCATGTAATGCATTATATACTTTATGAAATAGGTATATTAGAAATATCAATATACACTACTTTAAATTTGACGCGGTCATTATTTATAGGTATAATTATTAGTAAAAATCACGGGATCTAACCACGTTTTATATTTATTTATCGAGTTCCTGATATTTCGGCAGTGTTTCAACCGCCATGATCACGGGTAAACTGTTTACTAATTAATGGTACGTATCAATATATATGTATATTATAATATGTAGTATTAACCATGCCCTAACTGTCAATTGTCGCTGACCCGCGCAAATGTTAGTAGTAGCAGTGGCACTCAATGAGGAAGTAGCCATTATTATTGCTAAAAGTTGCATATAGATGGCGTGATTGGTATCGATGGAATTCTTCATAGTTTTGCAAACGTTTTAAAAAACAAAACTGTGTTTTCAAAATAGTTTAATCCATTTTTAAAAAAATATATATACATGTTAAAATGAAATAATGCGTTTAGAAAAGTAATTTTCATATATTTACTCATTTTGTTATTTTCCAGTACTTAATTACACTTTAATCAGTGCTAATACGGGGCTCAATGTTTTCAAAATGCTTTCATAGATGGCATTGTTGTCATTTGTATCGGCCTAATTAAATGTCTTTTTTATATTTTCCAATAATAAGCACTTAATATATTATTATTGTAAATTAAACATATAAAAAAAGTTTAAGTAAATTAAAAATAGCCGAAAAAGCAAATAATACTATTTCCAATAATACTTATGTATGAAGTGTTGTCATATTAAAAATAAATACATGTATTATCGATTTTTTTTAATAATCGATAACAGGATTTTGTTACAGCGCATTATTCGATGATGCTTTTAATGAGTCGTTGTGAACAGTAAATTTTCATTATTTTGTATTAAGTATAGCAGTATTCCGTTTCAAAGAACGGAATATAGTAGTACATTATTAGTGTCGTTGGTTATTTACATTTGTACTGAAAAATCGATTACATAATAATTTAAAATATCGAGTACGAATCGTAGCTGTCTTCGAATACTGGCAACTGGTAAGATTAAAATAGTTTTAAAAAAAATATAGAAATCGACCCTAACTCGAATACCATAAAGTTTATTTTCCTTTCTCATTAATATCATAGCAGTTTGTTTTTAACTTGCGTATGACTCTGTGGTATGATGTTTAACGTGTATTGTTATTGTACGGTGCATACATTTCAAAAATTATATTTTAATGTAGGTACAAACATTTCTTTCATACATTTCATACATGTCAAAAATTATCTTTTAATGTAGGTACATACATTTCATACATGTCAAAAATATCTTTTAATGTAGGTACATACATTTATTTCATACATTTCATACATTTCAAAAATGAACTTTTTATGTAGGTACATACATTGTTTTCATACATCTCATACATTTCAAAAATTATATTTTAATGTACATACATTTCTTTCATACATTTCATACATTTCAAAAATGAACTTTTTATGTAGGTACATACATTTCTTTCATACATCTCATACATTTCAAAAATTATATTTTAATGTAGGTACATACATTACTTTCATACATTTCAAAAATTATATTTTAATGTAGGTACATACATTTCTTTCATACATTTCATACATGTCAAAAATTATCTTTTAATGTAGGTACATACATTTCTTTCATACATTTCATACATGTCAAAAATTATCTTTTAATGTAGGTACATACATTTCTTTCATACATTTCATACATTTCAAAAATGAACTTTTTATGTAGGTACATACATTGTTTTCATACATCTCATACATTTCAAAAATTATATTTTAATGTAGGTACATACATTTCTTTCATACATTTCATACATTTCAAAAATGAACTTTTTATGTAGGTACATACATTTCTTTCATACATTTCATACATGTCAAAAATTATCTTTTAATGTAGGTCCTTACATTTCATACATTTCAAAAATTTCATACAATACATTTCTTTCATACATTTCAAAAATTATCTTTTAATGTAGGTGCATACATTTCACACATTTCAAAAATTTCATACAATACGTTTCTTTCATACATTTCAAAAAGTATTTTTTAATGTAGGTACATAACACCCCATGTCAGACCCCTTATATTTGGAAGAAACTTAAAAATATTAGATGAATATATTTTTAATACGAATATTGTTTTATTTTTGTTCATCAACTTTATCCCTCACTAACAATACTAGTAGTAGTACATAACCTGGTTTATACCGCTAAAGATATTGAAAGATATACGAGTAATTCAGAATGTTATCAAGTTCAAAATAAGCACACATTACTTGCTTAGATAACAGAGTAATATTACTAGTAATAAAAACATTTGTAATACCCATATGTATACTACGTATGTATAGTAAGTACTTACGCTGCGGCGCCGTGAGACTCGTCTAAGTACTTCATCTACTCATCTACGCGCGGTAACCGCGCCGACCGACCAATAGGATAGCGCCTCTCGTGTTTCCAGAAAGTTCGCGACTAACGGACGATATAGTAGTAAGGCAATGAGTGTCCCAGTGATATCATTATAATATTTTCTCGTTAAATTTTATTGTAATATACACAATTTCGCACTAAATAACGTGTTACCCCGTTACACATTTCTAATAATGAAAAACCTAGACCGACCCTGTTCACTTAATCTTACAAGATCTGACTTTAAAAATTACGATATCCTCATATAGCCTTTCATTTCGCCTTTCAATACTTTTTCGCATTAAAAAGTAGCCTTTCTCAGGGTCTACATTATCTGTCTACCAAATTTCAATTAAATCAGTTCAGTAGTTTTGGCGTGAAAGCGAGACAAACAGACAGACTGAGTTACTTTAGCATTTATAATATTTGTAAGAATATCGCTATTAAAAATAGGGGTTGGTGAAAGACGGGTGAAAATTTAGGCGTGTATGTATTTTCAATGTAACATTATAAATAAATAAAAAATTGTCCATAATACAAAAAAATATTTTTTCGGGGTAGGCCACCCCTATGACTTAGGGGTATAAAAAATAGATAACAACCCTACCTCAGACCAGGTCTGAAGTATACATATCAAATTTCATCAAAATGTGGGAGAAATATGGCAACTAACACTGTGATACAAAATTTATATATAAGATATAGCGGAATTCTCATTAGGTAAAAGAGGGGTACATCGTAGAATACATGAGGTATATACCAGTAAATTAATTGTAGCTAAAATCAGTCTCATACATATAACGATTGAAATAAAAAATCGTATAGCCCGATTTTGATACGTACGAGTATAAACGTATGAAAATCAGGCTATACGTATAGCGCAGACGCGTTACAACAAATCAAAAAAAATAGGCATGGAATGTAAAATAAACCATAACACAATAGGTATATACATTGGCACATAAGCCATATCTGCAGAGTGTCGGCTAACGATATTATACCTACACATTTACATTGAATCTTGAATCGTCCCTAATGAGGTACACGATACAGTTACCTACATATCTATTATATACATCTGTTTGCAAAACAGATGTCATGTAGACTGAATTCACTGCCATCTATTTTCATGCTTTGTTACTAAGCACCCACTAGTAATCCGAACTGCTTCAGATCTAGCGACATCTAGCGGCTACGGTGGCGAAATAAAATAGCCCGAAGAATAGCCCGAGTTAGGAAGGAACCATTTTCTTGTATGGGATGGGGTATCTGTATGTAATATTATGTTATCTGTGGTAGTAGGGATATTTACAAGTTTGATCACGGATGTACTTTAGGAAATGCTAGGCACTTATCTATGACAATTTATTACATTTTAAGTGACATATAAACAAATTTATAGCGTTGCGTAGTAAGTTAACCTATTTACTTTTTATTCGTCTGATACTGATAAGAATACATAATAATGTTAATCATATTACTTTTTTTATGAAATTTATATTTATTTTCCCTTATATATCTACCTAATTTTTTGACATGTCTCATTTATATTAGTGCACTGGTAACAATCTTTCTCTACACCAGTCAATTACTTGCAAATTCCGTCTCAATTATGACAATGACTTTGATTAATCACAGTTTTTTTTGTAATTGGAATGGCACACAAGCTGACGACTCACCTGATGGTAAGGGGTAACATGAGCACTACGGACATCATGTAAACAGGTGACATCCGCGATACCTACCTTTCATTCGTTGCGATCTTATATAGTGTAATTTTAAAATTACACTGTAATACTTGATCTACTGAAAACACTACAATATTTATGGGTAGTATAGGAACTCACTTGTGACAGCAACACCGTAGATAAGGCGCCAACAGACAACATGACGTACAAAGGTTATTGTACATCACATACAGCCAGCCGTAAGCTGCCACCGATAATCTAAGATAACGATAGGCGTCCTCTAAATTCATCCAAGCCGGTGTATCAGTGAACATTTTATTTACGTCTGTAGTGTAATGAGACCTTTCATTGTCTGTTTCATCGCTCAGCTTGCTAAGACGTTTTTGGCGTATCCTTAAGAGTACGCAACCAGCATATATGTCGGATAGAACAAAATCTGTTGATCTATACAAAGTAGCGAGTAGTCCTGAAATGGTTTTAATTTATAATATTGGATACAGTGGACAGTTACAAAATAAGGACAGATTGTATTACATTATTAAATTTTACATAATATACTCTTAGAGAAGCACCCAAATGAGTAAAATAACATATACATATTCGGTAATACACAAAAGAATAGATTTCGACATTTATAGAATTAGCAACTAAATTAGTATAGCCACGTAATTTTTTAACTATATACTGGAATATAAGTTACAATCTAATATGTTTATAAATACCGACGACCCGTCCCGACTTCCCACAGATGAATTACAAATCTTTGAATTTCTCGGCTAGTTCTATACTATGTATTATGTTATCTGTGCTATAATATACATGTTATATACTTATAAACCTTCCTCTGGAATCACTTTATCTATTATTGAAGACTGCATTAAAATCCTTTGCGTAATATAGATATATCTACATATGTATATATAGATAAGCGAACAGACAGCGCAGGTAACTTTATTTTATACTATGTATAGATAAAGATTAGTTTAAAAATAAACAAAATTTAAGAAAATAAGACCGTTTTAAAATATAGTTTATTTTCAGTGTTGTTGGGTGTCTGCTTAAGAATGGGCTATTGAAAACTGTATAGGTACTGTAATTGCTCGATAAGATAATGACAACTTCCACTCTCATTCATAAATTGTTACGATAGCGATTAATGAAATGTTCAGGAAACAATATATGACGTTTATGTAAGACCATACAGCAGATAAACCAGTTTCAGAGAGGGGAGGGAATAATGGAAACTAGTGGTAAAGTAGTCGTTCTTGGAATCTATAATTAATACTATGATTTCATGCTCATCCATTACTTGTGTCTCGTCTGAATAGGTACACAATTAACGTAGTCGAAAACATCCATTAAATACCGCTGCCTCAAGAGTGGTCTCGGGATGACTAGAAACGTGAATATGATTGTCACGACAAAAACTTATTGAAATGTTTGAATCAGTTATTTACTATCCATAATACAAGTTCAGGTCTAGGTTTAGGACTAGATAGGGCTGCGTGAATTACTATCTAGGTTAGGTACTATTATTTATCACTTACGTGCAGTTTCTTCAATCGCCTCCTTACTCTGTTCGTCTCTTTCTAACAACAATAAAGCCCATTTAAGTCTCCACACCCACGCCTCCACGAGTTTTTTATTGTACCAGGCTTTCATCGATTCATCTTGTAACTCTTCGTAATCTACAGATCCCAGTGGATCGTAGAAGCTGTATATAGTTATTAATAGTATTGCCATTCGTATCCACGTTATTATTATTAGGTCTAAAAAATAAAATTTAATTATATTTTTTATACATTTTCTTTACATATAAAACTCAAAGTCGTGACGAACGAAAACAATCTATTAGTATTTTTATGATTAAGGTTTCACTTATGGCTGGAAGAATTAGGATATTCTAACAGAATATGTTGTTAATTATTCACATTTAAACACCACAATAAAAGTAGTAAGTAGTAGAGGAAGTAACTACAATTATACTTACAAAATATAACTCTATTCGAAAATGTTCGTGTCATAGAACATTCGATGGCATCCGAGAATATCCATATAGATCCTAAAATGTTAAGTAACAGCTCTATAACAGTCATGAACAGGCTGAAATAAAAACAAGAAATATATAAAATATACAATCTTACAATAAAGTATGGTACTGTTTCAAAAAATATAAATTCAGGTCATTTACAATATATTTTAATAAATAAGAAAAGGCTGATAAATTGGTGTTTAATAATATTTAAAAAAGATGTAGGTGTAGTCGAGTTTCTTGTCAGTTTTTCTCAATTGAAGTAGCTAGCGGAGCCAGTAGGAATAGTGACAAAAACATATGACGTGTCTATGTGGCAAAAAATATGAGAATAAATATTTTTGACTCCGTATTTAAATATAATGTACAAAGTAATATGCACTCTATAAATACTGCAAATTCAGAGTCAAGAGGTTCAACGTGTTATCTATAATTTAAATCAAAGTATTTGATACATGAACAAGGATCGGTATGATTTCTGCTACAGTAACCACAGATAAGATAATACTATATTCTAACTGCAAAATAAAATACTTAATCGAAACCGTGACAGTTTACTTTAGACTCGCCTCTTGTCCCTAGATACATACAAATGTATGCATGTCGAGTGCCATTTCGGAATAAAATTTTAATTTTTCACAAGTTTATGTTTATAAACGACTCGTACGGCGAATAATAAATTAAAATAAATGCCTATTACTTGCATATAATGTTCTTTTCTGTCAAATAAATTAAAAAGTTCATCAGTTCTCTTTACAATATTAGTTCACATAAAAATGTAGGTACTTACTTGATATAAATTAATGGAGGAACCAACTTTCTGGGGGTAGTTATTGTGCCTCTTGCGGACTGATACGCTAGAATTGGCAACAGCAATAACAACACCACCTGAAGTACTAAGGTGCCACATAAGTATAAGCGCACCAACCATCCGTCGGGCCCGGTTGAATTACACAACCATGTGTTTTCATATTCATGCGCCACTACTAACGATATTAGCACCAACCTGTAGAATTAAATAACCAATAAACATAGGATAGAAAGGGATTGTTAGGAATGTTACTAATAATATTATTACTAGCAATATACTATGTTAGGTCGACCTCCACATGGTCCCGCCTGGAAACCATCGTGGTTCTGCTGAACTCGCCACGATTTGCTGACTGACTAACTTCATCATCCTCCACTGGTGCTCCGCCAGTTCAAACCGTTACCACAGCGGCTGCACCATTCTATTATCATACACAAAAAACAATACAAAGTGGGAGGCAGATTGTTAGTAATACTTGTGATATACCATTTTAAGTCGACTTCCACACGGTTCCTCCTGGAAATAATCGTTCTTAATTTCTTGTGAATTCGCCACAAAGGGCTGACCTGATTTCGTGCTCATCTCATCATCCTCCACTAGTGTCTTCCCCGCCAGCGTATACCGTTAGCGCAGGCGGGTGAAACATTCTATCACGCATTAAAAAACCGAAATGTGTATAATATAGCCATATAATATGATTATGGGAGCAAGTATAAAGTTGTTTGTAAGATTGATTGTCTAAAAGTCCAGAAATACTAGTCTTCTATTTAAAATCGGCAAATATGTTATTAAATTATTGCATACCATACTATTCTGAAAGGTATTTCTATAACGCAGGGAAATACGAGGTCATCCGCGGCAAACAACCATTTGCGGCCTAGTAAGCGAATTGCAGGCATTCTGAAAAAAAGGTAAATTAGAACAAATATTTTCTACCAAGAATTACGTAAAATTATTCGGTCACAACCGAACTATACGTATTTAATTTAAAGTTAATTTTACTTACGTAAGTTCCTTATCCATATATAATAAAATTAGTAAATGTCAAAAACTTTCTTTAATACTATCGTAATTTTTTAAAATAAGCCTTATAAGGTATATTTTAACCAATAGGGTAGGTGGACTTACTTATACTAAGTTAAAATATAAGTGCACAAGTGCACAACCTGTAGTAGAAGGAAGGTAAACAATGACTTAAGTAGTGCAATGCATAATAATATGGAGGTCGAAACATGAATAGTTTAGTTTCAGGGTCGTCCGAAATAATTTTCTTTACACATATCTACGTTAGATTTTCATGACACAAGTAATAAGTCATATTTACGGAGCTACTACATCATTTAAAAAATAAAGAGAACCATTATTTTAAAAGATTATTACTGCTTAATATAAACCTTAAGGGGTACCACTTACACAGTAATTTTTGTTCCAGATAATTTATAGTAGAGGTAGGTAGGTACTTTTTTTTATTTATGAGAAAACTAACAGCGTTACAATTTGCATTAAGTCATGTATGTGGCAATGATAAAGCTAATTAAAGGCGTCGCAAAAACAAAAACTACTTATCAAAGTGTACATAATTTATATGTATATACATAATAATAAAAGGTTGTGATTATATTACAATATAAAAAGATTCTAGGCATAACATTTTTTGCTATTTGTACAAAAATAATCTATCTACCTACATATCCGCTGTAAAATCTTTTATTTTAAGGTTCCAACTCCAACGTATAAAATAAAAATAGGTAAATTAAAGGGACTGAAACTTATATAGTATGATGATTATTATCGCACTTCATTTTTCTTTTGTTTATGTCAATGAGTCAACCTCGTCCAAAACGAATTGGTAGTTTTAGTTGAAGCCGAGTGTTTGACATGGCTATGTTACAAAATCTGTTCATTCTATCGAATAATTTAAAATACAAGCATTGTAATATGGATACCAACAAGGTACTTACAAGAATAAAATTTAAATTTACTGCACTTATATAAATAGGTAGGTTCCCCATTACTTTTTTTAGTACTTTATCTTTTATTGTATTTAATGCTCAGTATTTCAGCATGAAGTAAGATTAATTGCTTTTTAAAATCAAACAGATAGTCCATATTTGGTTGATGTTATTACTGTAACTATAAAGTAAGTGCGTCTCTTTATGAGTATATAATAATATTGTTTATATGCTCATAGACATACTAACGGTATATATGTTAGAAATATATATTTCTTACCTTGGAAATTTATTTTTTTCTATGAAAATTAAAAAAGTAAAGCTCAAGACCTCACGTTGTTCTCTGCGCCAGTGTGGTTTCCGTAAATTCTTCCGATACCTACATAAAGTTTATTTTTCTTTACTTTACTCTTTGCTTTTTGTATTTCCTTTTCCGTAACATTCGACGAATTGATATACCAATAGCTATCGATGAGAGAATGAAACACGTAGATATGTCTGTTTGTAATCGGCGTGTGTTGCCATCTCATTTATAGGCATAGCTAATCTGTACCAAGAAAATGCTTATATTTATCACAGATAAATTAATAAGTAGTAAATAATATTTTTGTTCCATTCACTTCAATAAAATCTAATATAATGAATCAATCAAATCCAATCAATTATTTTCATACTAAATATATAACAGGTTAAATAGCCATTATGATAGCGACTGTTTTGTAATTTGTGTGTGGCGATAAATTAAACTATAAAACGATACTTATAAAGGTATGTGTCAATTTATTTCAATATTCTACAACAATTCAGTGCAGAAATGCTGTCAGCTTTATATGAATCTTTGGGACAGGACTAAACGGGACAATTTTAGTTGATAATTGTCTTCTCCTTTGATTAAGGCAAAAAGTAAAATATTAGTAAACTTATGTGATATGTATCCTGCCTACGATAAAGAGATCTAGCTGTTTTGCATGTTTAGAATTTCCTAAGTTTAGGTTCGGAGATAAGGACTAATAAGATAATATTAGTATTTACCTTACACTTAACTTAATATTACTTATACATTCTATACTATATAGCGGGTCTAAACGATTCTTAATGAAATTTATTAGAAAAACTAAATTTTATCTCTGAAGTAGACGAGTTCGTGGGTAACAGCTAGTTTGAATATAAATTAATAATATCTGAATTAATTGTACACATCCAGTTGATGTTTTGTATTTAGTGCTAAAACGGGTCTGTATTTCTTCTTATAAAAAGAAAACAAAAATAATAAGTGAAGATTGCAATTTTGCAATATATATTCGTACTTCAATTTGACTAGTCATGTATTTGTTTACAATACATTATTGTACACAAATACTTGACTATAATAAGCTGACAGGCGCTATACGTATTCTATGATATGTACCTCTCTATCTATCCCTATATACCGTATGATCACATAACCTTACAAGTTTTTTTTATTATTTCGGGCAACTATTTATGAAATTGTGATAACTGTTTTTATTTGTATTTAATTTTTCAATATTAATTTGTCACAATTTGTTACAAAATTGATTGTAAATTTATATAAAATGAATACACATGTTTGTCTTATGAATAACTGGGCAAGAGAAATAGTAAATTAATACATATTACTAAAAGTATCAAAACATAAATAAATCGCCTACCAGCAAACTTAGTTTGAGCAATAAACGGTAGTAAATAACACTAATTTAATACAAATTGTCTATGCCGCACTCTTGTACACACAGCTGTTCTCACTCATGTAATCATAGCTACTGTCGTCTGTAGTTAGCATTCATTCGATCATACAGCTTTGTGTATGACAGCAAATGCAATGAAATGAATGCCATTTTCGGACACGTCTTATACTTACCTATGATTACAATTATAAATAAACATGCCAAATATTTCCCACCGGAAGATGGAGTGTAAAGAGTGGATGAATATTGTACACTGAACTAAACGAACTAATTAATAGATGTAACAATTAGTAAATAAGTGAATCGGGTCCTGATTCCTCAAATCATCAGGCCAACAGTAAGCTGAATGGAACAATGTACTATAACTAGTAAAGAAATGAAATACTAACGCAAAGCATTCGTTTTGTACAATATTCAGTATAGTAATAGGTCACCTCAAGGTCTCGGCAGCGCAGGCTAATTGCGCTGCTAACGAGTGTTGCCTACTAATTTTTTTTTTTCTAGAACTAGCCTTTTATTCTCATCTAATTTCTTGTATATTAAATTATAATCACTAGCTATCTGAAGGTTTAATTTTTTTTTATTTAAGAACACTAAAATAAAGCTCATACAAGCCTAAATATTTTTAAATAATGTGGACACAAGTAGTTACAAATAAACTACATACAATAATTTCCGGAATTTTGATATTTTTTCATGTGATTATATTATTTTTTTGGAATCAATCTGGTATGCGAATCCGTTTTATTAATCTCTGTATTTTTTGTTATCTAAACTTAGCCTGATAACTAAAACACTGTTAGCAACACTGTCACTGACATACTATTATTTTCCTTTGTGACGCTACTAAGCGTAGTCGAAGAACACCTAACTTCAGTACGATCACAGATAACATAATGGTACGATATATACTGCTTGGTTCCTGTGGTTCCACTCAAACAATTTTATATATTTTTTTAACCCTATTTTTTAGTAATTTTATAAAATGTCTAAGATGTAATATTTTAGATGAAGATTTTTTTATAAAAGTACTCGCTATACTGAAAAATTCTGCGCATTGTTTACTATAAACATATTTTTCTATTGAAATGTAATTTTTTTGGGATTTAGCATAATTAACCGCCTTCAAAAAAGGTGAAACCGAACCGAAATCAGCTACTGAATTTTTTTACATTTGTTATCATAGAAGACATCTGTCTGTTGTACTGGAATCCCTTGGAATTGCTTTATTTTCCTCCAAGAGAGAGTCAAAAAGAAATATATATTAACACTTTATTTTTATTTTGGCTAGATTTAAACGAACAATTTTTCAGTAAATAGAGGCATCTCACAATTATATTATATATTGTAATTGTTATTATTAGTATAATCTTATCAATATTATTTGGTAAAAGTTTTATCATAAATTATGACGTTTTTAAATGATAATACTACAACTCCTTATTAATTATAATAATAGAATTCAATTTGAGGTGTATTTTTTTTATTCGTATATTATGATATACACCTTTACGAGGTGTATTATTATTTATATACTATTTCAGTAGATAAATAATATTTATCACTATTATACTATTTTTATAGAAATACATTCATATTGTGAATCACAGATGTGAACGTAACCTACGTTGTTTTTACAGAGGATTTTTCAAGTTCTGGGTTGAAAACTTTCACCCCAGAAATTGCAATATAGTTAAATAAATGTTAAAATGTTTTAGCTGCCTTTCTGAGAGTAGGTTGAGGAACAGAAACCACACAAACTTTTTGATAATAGATCTTATGCACTATATCATAGAGTTTCCGATCGAGAGGAAACGATCGACGTAATTAGGATCTGGCTTAGTAGCATTTGAAGTATTTATCTCTTGTAGCATATCAGTGTACAATGGGTCAATTAATATAGTAAGAATAATATCTGTATTAAACATGTTAATCGGAGTTTTTTGTAAAACTGTCTATTTACCGAACCGGCTATTTGTCCCTATATTTCTTTATAGGTAATATTAGTTTACATTAGGCGATGTGATTAAGTGACTCAAAATATTTGGCATCGTTTTTAGGAGACAGGTAATTGAAATAAAGACATTCCATACTTAAAATATATTTTAATATAAATTAACACAAACCCAACACTAGACATTGGCTATATTCTAGCTAGTATTATATACTCATAAGTGAGAGAGATAATAAAGCCCTAATTTAGGGTACAAGTGAAAAGAACTTCAGTCCTTTAAATATTTGAATGTACATGTAATTCAAGTATCCTTATAGTTATTCATTAACTTTGATGAACTATTACATTTTTTTATCATGTTGATATAAATCAATAAATTAACATTGGAATCAATATAATGTATGTTTTAGGCAAGACCTTATTAATTGGTATATAGGTAACTATTGTTTACTGTCCACTCGTTAAAGTTATAGAATACGTGCTAAGTATATAAAATATTTGATTTTTGTAAAGGTAATACCTATACAACCTGAGCACTACTTAGTACCTACCTAATTTTAATTGAGTAACAACAAATTCAATTTGAAACATTATGTATTGCAACTTTTGGTACGTATCTTTAAATTTTTTGGGATTGTAAAACACTTTTTAAGTATCTATCTATTATGTATAAAGGCCAAAATTTCTATTTAGGTATGTATTAAGTTATGACATTTCATAGAATACCTATTAATAGTAGGCAGAAGTTATTGTGAGAATAAAATGACAATTGTATTAAAAATAAAGTGCCTAAGTGAAGAGCACAGTCAGATAGTAATAATAATGAAAAATACATTGTTTATGGAATTTGTCATCAACTATAATTTAGGCACATAGTATAACAACAAGTAATCAAATACACATTGTGTGCATTTTGAATATAATTTTAGACATTTAATAAAAATATGAATTAAGACATTCCATTTTTTATAATAAATGATTTTATGAAAAAATCAAAATTACAATGTCTGCTCTTTGTGTGAAACACCATAGTGACGTCCAATAACGTCATTTCAATTTTTATAACAACATCGAGATGATGATGACAAGTGCCTAAATTAAAATAATACAGATAGATATAATTTACCTAGGTACTCTACCTCTATAGGTATTCCCCGTGCTGTAAAATAGTGTAGATGGTTTAGCGTTTGTTACAATAAAATAATTGTACGTCATGTTAATACCCTACTACCTATGTAGGTATGTGAAGAATATGAACTAAACTCGATGTCACACATAAATGTATATGAGATTTATGAAGTCATGGTCGATTTAATAATCGTAACTAATTTTAACTTACACACTTTTTGTTCAAATCATAGAAATAAATGACGAATATTTTTGGATTTTTGTGACCCAACTGAATATTGTTATAACGTAGATGAAGTGGGCATAATGGCTATGTACAGGTTTACTTGTAAAGAGTATACCAAACCAAAGAGTCACAGAATGTTCATGAAACTAAAGAACTTTCATCAGTAACAACTCTGAAAACTGAACAAATATCATTTGAATGTTTGATAGGTAGGTACTAAATACATCACGTGGCCATGCAATTTGTATAAATGTTTTAAAACGTTTTAATTTTCGTCTCTACTTCTTGGAATATTTTTTTCATTTTCATGATACTACTGGCTTTTGGGTTTAGTATATCGTTTGCGTCTAAAACTATATAGGTGTATTTTTCCACATAAATACGCCAATAAAATAGTGGAGAATTAGAAAAAGCGTATTACTATATAAATCATGAACATAAGGATTGAAAAAAAATATTACTATAGTTTTTTATATTATAATAAAACTAACCGATATCGTTAAAAAACAATGCAATTAAATAATATTTTCACAAACGACGATGTCGTACGCGTTGCTTAATTTGCTGATCTTTCAATTATCAAAACTTATGCATATTTCCAGTATATATATGTAATTATGTATGTATGCACTTATTGTATTTTAATGTTGAAATGTATACATTCATAGGTGTAACGATGATAGTATATTTTGTTGATGTTTCTACTTTAGACTTTCGCCGCTATTAGTGCGTTCACTTTTTTCCAACCGACTACCAAAATAAACAGATTCTTATGTACAAGATTTATTATTTATGTGATATTTTCGCCAAAACTAAACATAGATTATGACATTTTTCATAATGAAAAGGGCTCAGTAAATTGTTGGTCCCATATAAAGTTGGGATAGTCGGTTTCATTATAATTCATGAAACACAATTATATTGCTAACTATTTAACGCATTTTAACCTTATGCCTGTTAATATAATATTAAATAATGGAATGTATATTATACTACGTAAATGCTATTTACATAATTAACAGAAATTATATAAAATGCTGCCTTCAGTATTCATGACAGGATCTAAATAAGTATGTATGTTAAAGTCACTTTTGACTTGCTCCCGAGGTTATATGCAGAGTATTATAATTGAATAATAAATCAATGGCGCCATTTTGAATTTTGTACTTTTTTTTTATATATAAAATCGAGGGTGGAGGAAAAGTTGCTTTACGGGTTGTATATCTACTTACTTATTATAATTGTTATCAATAACGGTTTAATAAATAGGTATTTACCCATTTGAATGTTAAAATAAACAGCATAACAGGTATAATTTGGCAAAGGAATTGTTTTGTTTAATTATTTTAATATTAGTTTTACATAGTAATGTCTTTTGATTCAATATTTTTGTTACCACTGGCATAAACGGACTTTTTATAATGTCATTATTCAATAAAATACATTACAAATGTAAAGTAAGTCGATGTAAAGTTACTGAGAAACAAAATTAATGTAGGTACTCATATTTCAAATTTCTAAATAATTTTGAGTGCAAAATATAGTCCGCCGCATTCGTCGGTACAGGCTATATAAGGTTATGGAGTTCGTTAGAATTTTCTAAGGAAGACTGAATACATACTGTTTATGATAGCCACATGGCATACCATGTGGCTATCATAAACAGTATGTATTTTATATGAAATACTAAACGAATTAAGAATTTAATTGTGTAACGCTATTGCTATCAATTCTCATTTGAAATAGATTAACAGTTTTGCGATTATCTATGAATCTTTTAATTGCGACTGGGATACGTACAACATAGCTTGTAACTGCAACTTTCAAATGGTTCATATAATAATCTAATGATTTTAATCTCTCATTATACGGAATTGTTAGCAACTAAATAATAACAACTTTTAATAATACCGACTGTAATGCCGTTTTTATCAATATCCTTAACTTTTCTTTAGACATATCATACTCATGTAGAAAAGCAAATTCTAGATTAAGCCGGAATAAGTTGTGGCTAAAAATTGACATGCACTCTACATGCAGTTGTGACATCTATCCATTCCTTATATAAGACAGAAATGCATAAATGGCTGTCTCATTATGTATGCTAGAAAGTGGTAACGTCATAAATTAATAAGTATGTACATATTATATACGCAACATTATACAGTTTCAATTTAATTGACTTAAATAACGTTGTACTAAACACGTACTAATTATTGTACTCAGTGTTAGCTTTAATACTTAAATTTATAAAGAGATATGTCTCTTTATAAATGTTGACAATGACAACGATTGACAATTACTTTATTTTTAATAACGAAGTGATTGCTTCTAATTTGAGCATATAATAAGAATTGTATTTTGTATTTCGAATTATTAAATTATAAACAAAGTCGGGGAAAGTAAATTATAAAAGTAAATTATAAAAAACTGCACTATTACAGAATATTGTGTTGCAAATAGATTTTTTATTTACAAATTGATATGACAAGGTAAAGAAAGTAAATGAATAACGAATATTTTAGGATTGATTGATATGCACTAAAGGACGAGATAAAACAGCCCACAGCTTATATGAGATTCGTGCCCACTCTAATATAAGTAATGACAGATACATTATTTACATATTAAAACACCCTTTTAACCTTTTAACTTTGTATACAGATTCATACTCCAACTATAAATTTAATTGTCAGTTCATCTATATTTAACAAAATATTCATACTAAACATCATCACAGTCTTCTTACATTAGAATTATTATTCCCTTAAAAATAATTTGAGACAGATTTGTCAATATAAAATTGCTAAAAAGATTTTTAACAAAATTCTGAAGTATAAAGTATGTACAAAAGTTTTGTAGAAACAGTTTTCGTATCATTTAGAGTCAGGTAACCAAAATAAGTATAAAGATAGGAACAAATTGTATGTCACGAGACTTTAATATTTGAACTGGGATTAATGTGGACCCACTTTTTGTACATTTACAAACATATAATATACAAACCGCAAGAGCTAAACGAACGCACTGTCTTATGGTTTACATATTAATGTAAGTAACGACACATTTACATAAGGATAGAAATAATTATTTTAATTATCACAAAATAAAACATTTGTCCAAAAGGTAAAAATAATACCAACAGGTATCCAACTTACTACCTAGATAACAGTCACCAGAGTAACTACTATAAATCTATCTACGCATAAAAACTAACAAAAATAAATGCTATATCCATAGAGCGTTTACTTTCTACTCATAGATAAATTCTGATTCGCAAAAAAATATAGAAGAACAAAATTGGACAATAATTGCGTAAACAATAAAAAGTATAAGTTTTCAAAAATTGTCTTTCACCACCACATAAAATTGTCGGAGTGTACACTATAACAGTTCGTGTTTTGGTAAAATCTTACTATAACAGTAAGATCTTACCAAAAGACGAACGGTTATAGTGTAACCAGAAAGTATTATATTTAATACTATCTTATACTTATGTGGTAATAGTTAACGTAAGAACACCATCAATTTTTTTTTTTAATTTGTTACAACATACTAATATAAAGTGTCCAATTTTATTTCTTAACCAAATTCAGTACATTTACTAGGTTTCGGTTCCAAGTATTGAAAGTACCTTTCTGTGAATCAAAATAAATATATCATTATATCTTGTTGTTACTTCGCTCTATGGTTTCCAAATATTTAATAGTTTTCTATTTCCTTGTTCCGCATTTAGTTTTCTAATATGATTAGACAATGTGAGTGGGTCTGTACGTGTGCCTCTCTTCAATGACTGTCTGTATGGTGCGGTGAACGTTCTCTGGAAGGTGATCAAGAAGCATTCGCGGCATTACTTGCAGTTCCATGAAGTCCTCAGCACACGCCCACCGCATCTCGAACGTTGGTTCATGTGTACGTACTTTTCTGTTAAGTTGTTAAAAATTGTAAATTATAATTATTTAGAATAAGAAACATCATTTTATATCACAAGGCTACTACCGGATTACATCATTACGATTACAAAATACCCAACAAAATTGGTCCTAAATAAGCGAATACAAACGTGTAGTATACATATAAGAAGTATACAGTGAAATTGTGAATATAGATACTATTGTATAATATATTTTTGTTAATTAATACACTATTTTATAAGGTTGGTTAAATTACAACGTGATGAAATACCTTTCCTCGTCGGCTTCGTTACTATTCAGACATACAAAAAAAGTAAAAAAGTCTATGATTAAACTATTAAAAAATATTTTGTTAACTATATGTATATTGTGTACGTTCATCTGTTATAAAATATTTAATAAGTCAGTACTTTTAATTTATATAAAATAACATAATAGAGAGATTTAGACTTTGTATGTGAAATCAAAAATTATTTAAATATGAAATTATCATACTAACTTTTCAATGCCCATCCTCTTACGGCGGACGATGTGTAGGATACGGCCAGCCGTATACAGACGTGCAGATGAAAATCGCCGCGCAAACACGTTGCGAGATACAAGCGCAGCCTCCTAAATGTGTAAAAGTACATGTAAGTAAATATACGGCCCGCCTAATGGTAAGTAGTTATTATAGGTACGTGAATCCAGAAGTTATTAAATGAGTAACGCATTTCTTATATTTGAAAATAAATATTCTGTGTGTGACAATATACTATCTAACGTGAAGAACGAAAATGGTAATAATGGGGCAATCTAAAAATTACGTCACACTTATGATTTTTGATCCTTCCTTTCCTTTCATCCCCCATCCCCGTTACAGTTAGTCTTATTTGTGAGACGCCACATGTTTTTATATACTATTTGTATTAATCCTTCGTGATTTATTACTTATTGTTAGATAAATTTTAATTTAAATTTGCTTGTAATGTGACGTAATGAAATTTAGAATTTCTTTCACCCTCTTGTCTCGCAATGTCACACTACGAATCGCTCTCCCGCTCACTTAACTTGTGACGCAATTTCTAATGGGGACTAGACTTTAATGCTAGGAATGTACCATGTGAGGTTTATCTCCGTATGAGGCCAATGGATGAATATCCCCATAATTACTGGGATATTCATAAAAACATTAGTTTTATGAGGGTTTCACGTGATAAGCTCATATCAGCAGTGCTATTCATTCATACATGCATATATGTATGTAACAGTTTCCACTCACCATCAGATGGGCTAGTAGCTAGTTTGCCATTTCAGTTTAAAAAAATTCAAGAGATTCGAACAAGAGGATTAATCAATAATATTCAACAAATTATAAAAAGATTGTTAAAATAATTAATAACTAAATAACAATATGTAATTAGAAATAGTAAAGCCGAAATATATGCTTATAAAATTATTACAAAGAGAAACACGCTAACTTATCTTTGAAATAGCTGTCCTTAAATGTCATAATGGGAATTTTCATGCTCTTATATTGGTTAGCTATTTAAAAAATAAGTTACTTAAATATAAAATTTTAATTAGCAACAGCGACTTTAGAAGTTAAAAAGACACAACACAAATCTCACACATAAGTACCCAAATTGTCCCAAACACATAAAACAATGCATAATGAAATTAATTGGTGATCGTACTTACCATATTTATAGTGACATAGATATGGTGACCATATGTTGACAGGGAAAGTTACAAAATATATTGAAATATGTTAACATTTAATTACACATATATCAATCTGAACTGTCTATATTTATTTGGATATCCTTTTCAAATAAGAATTGCTTTGCTTGCAATAATTCTGCATATATATATATTTTCTAACTGGAATGGTACACATGGTTCACAGGTTTTGACGGTTAAACTGAAAGTAAGCGGTAACCGTAGACTAAATATAAATGAACAACACTAAGGATGTCAAGTTATTATGTGACATTCGTGATGCCATTCATGCGTTGCCATTCCAGAAGACTAAGATAGTAACGTAATCCTAATCATTTGTACTGAAATAATTAGGATTTGATACTTATTGATAGTTAAGAGAAGATTCAAGAACTTTACAAATTTATAGTATTTTGTTATCATTAATTTTCTCTAGTACCTTCATATTAATTATCATAACATAATAATTTATTTATTACGATTTTACCACTACGTACGTTTCCTATCAATAATTTAGATAATTAAGCATGTTTTGTGTTACTTACATAAACAAACGTAATTAATGAGATGAAATCGCAAATGATTATTTAACAAATCAAAACAAGCAATCAGATAAATTATACTCTAAGGATTTTATTGGCTGTTTATCAGATTTAGGATCCAATAGTGGCATTGCTATAGGGTTGTCAAATGAACAACATTTGAAAAAAACTAATAATGAATTTACGCATCAAATTGGCAATATTGAAACGAAGTAATTTGCATTAATCATATTGTCAAAATGTTGCCCTTAGAGGATAACGGCACTGAAGCGATGACGCCAGCACACAGCACACGACACGACACCTGGTAATAGAAAGGGCTCAACTGACAGCACTCACGGTGGAGACGCTTTGCACGAGGAGGGCGTCTGTCGAGTCATCAGAGTGATTAGCTTCAAGATCCTCTGGCCTTCTCCAGGTGGACTCGAGATCGCGGGCAGGAACGCCGAATAAGGCATATCCGAAGCCGTTAAGCATTATCCGGTACTATAATGAAATTAAAATGATTTAACCAAAATAAATGAAAATTACTAGACAATTGACAGATATATTTTAAAGTATACAAAATAAATTTCACAAAAAAATGTGGTAAAGATTCATCAGTATATGAACAATCTGCTATTATAAACTATTTCATGGTGAGGCAGTGGTAAACTGCTACAGCAGTAAGTTCGTCAAATTAAACGATTGTATAGATAGATTTAAAATAAATTTAAATTGAATGGTCCAAACATCAACCTCCACTTACTTTTGGCAACTTAGTAGCGTGTATTGTTTGTATAACTTTTGTACGTAGATTCTCTATACTGTGAACACTTAGTCGCATCACCAGGTCATCACCAACGCCAACCGTGAGCACAAAGCTCTCTGTAAATCTTGCTGCTTCGCGACTTATCAAGCCCGCTGAAATAGGGATTTTGGTTATTACCGGTCTAAAATTTTTGTCAAAAAGAAATTATATTAGAAGTCAAGAGACTAAGAATATTAGCATGACTGTGTTTTTATTTAAAGAATGAACTATGGTAATATAATTAGGTACTGCTGGAAATATGCTACCATAGTTCTAAGAAATGGCAACACATATACCCTAACCATAATTGTGTATTTTTATATCCATATTGCTTTGTCTACGGTCTGCCCCCATTATGTCTATAGAAGAAAACCTTATCTAAGACTTAGAGCAATCAGGCCGTCAGGCAAATAATGTTATTTGCCTGACGGCCTGACGGCTCTTTGGGACATCCCTATCCCTACTAAGATTATTTGAGAAATAGTCTTACCTGGCGTTGAAAATGCGTACACTTTGAGATGTGGATATCGTGGTCTTAATTTCAGAGCCACCAGTACTGCAACTCCAGCACCGAGACTATGGCCTGGAAATTAGATAATTACTTATTAAAGAGATTAGAATAATATATATGGCAACCCTGATTAAAAAGTATTATAAATAAATCCATTAAAGTAAACATTCACGTTAATTACAGAGTTTATTGTTTATATAATTAACTTTAGAGTTTAATGTTTATACCAGATGGTATTAGTACAGATAAGGGAATATTACATAGTACTAGCTGTGGTACTAGTGACTAACCCGTCTAAAATTTTGCGTCATTACAATATAGCTATACCGTCGTAACTATCAATCAAAGGTCTTCCTTACTTTTATTTGTAATGCATGTGAATGTTAATATTAGCCAAATAAATGTATATTATTAGTATATTTCGCTAGGAAATACAAACTTCACCAACCTTACCTATCATATCCAATTCCTTACAGCTTTTTAAGAGGAAAGGGGCTAGTAATGGGGACTATTGGCTCTATTGCAAGTAATGTACCAAATCAGGTTGATCTCCATGCGGTCCTTCTTGGAAACTAACTAATTGGCCACAATGGACTAACTGACCTAACTTTATTCTCATCCACAGGTGCCGTTAGAGTATACCATTAACGTAGGAGGGTGCACTATTCTATTATCTAATCCATTAAAAAAACATTTGCAGCATTTTAGACGTCATCCACCCCTTCATAGCGTGGGAAGTGGCTTATACTGTTTGCCTGTATAGAAACGTTACTTAAGAACATTTGCCAAATGTTGTATCTGAAATAGGTCCGTCGATTCGATTAATGGTAATACTATTAAAACACCAAATCGTGGGAACTACCTCGTAATTATATTTTATATTCAATTTTAATTCAAATATAATCAGTAGTATTAAATAGCGTATAAAAACAAAAAAATAAAACAAATGCCGAACGTTCGGGATCGCACGGAATTCTCTATTTAAAATTTATGAAATAAAGTACTAAAAAGATTTTGTACAATTATTTTTGTGTTGTAGTTTTCAACAATATAGGTATAATATAATACACATATGAGTTACCTGTCAGTATTAGGTCGTAATGTGAGTACTGCTGGAAGGCTCGATCCAGCACTGGTAATAAACGTTTTAACATTTTTGCTGCGCCCATTGCCATTCCTTTATGCGCTGCTGTATCTTCAGGTAGTCCTGTTAATGTAATAAAAATACAATAAATTAAATTTTCATGTATTCATATTATGAAATATAAGTTTACTTCTTTTTATAGAGGACATAAAAAGAATGATGTAACTATCATGTAATCACGTTAACAATCTGCATATATCTCTTTGAATATAGAGTTATAGGGTAGTAAGAATCTTATAATAACTGGAATAAATGAATAGATATATTAAAACTATGTAATTACCATCGGCTTCAAACTTTTCGGAACCGGCGGTGAAATCCGTGAAGATATCTCGTAGAGAGATAGACCCTCGCACGGCTACCACGATACTTTCGCGATCATGATCCGCTATCACGCAGAACGGTAACTGAAATTAAATTTAATCCAATAGTTACAATAATAGTTGACATAGATTACCTATGGTTTAACAGAAAGTATCACCGTCACCTGTAGACATATAGGTAGTATTTATGTACACAGAGATTGCCGATATAAAGAAAAACATTTTATTCTAAATACATCTAAGGCTTCACCTTTCGATATTGATGTACTTACTTATAACACTGTAGTACAGTACTTTGCTCTACTATTATTATCAATAATTTTGGCAGTGTACGTCTTACAAGGATTTTAGTTACCCTTTTTTTTAAAAATTGGGTTACATTATCATTAAGTTTATCATCATGAATCTTAACGTTTTTGAAAATCTCCACTTATGTTCATCAAGAATAATGTACCTATTTGCATAACTGTATGTAAATAAAAAAATACAATACATTTTAACAAGTGTACAGTACACAGTACAGTATAGTGTGTAACAACAATACACTTATGTAGTTTTCACTAACAGATACATACCTATCTGAGTTGATTGCGAAACACCGCAAGCAAAGGTAATTTAAATTATGCTCTTTGTGGAATTACGGTACCAACTAACAGAAAGGTAATTAAAATAATGCGAATAAAAGGCCCTTTAAACGGCTTTAAAGAACCAATTAGAAGTTTAAATTCTAAACGTTGAACTCAATTAAACTTTTCGAGACATAAGTATGAGAATTAAAGAGGATTTTTTCCGATGTTAAAATGATGTAATAGATTTTGGTAATGGTATGGTTCATTTTTCTCGTGTTTGCAACTTGGTGAAAGATATAGAGCTAATAAATAATCGACAAACCTCAAAGACACGATTGTTGAATGACGCGAAGATGATGTCATCAGCAGCCAACTTGGACATATATTTGACGCCGGCGAAATTGCACATGCAGCAGTTGTCGTCTGTTACTATTGAGTTCTTTGGTCTGACAATTATTAAAAAAATAGTAGTTTAAAATAGGATATCGGCTATCGAGTTCCTTTATTAGATTATTAATTTATCTTAATAAGTGACTTAATATAATATGTACCCGAATTTTAAATTAAACCGTACGTTGATTAATATTTTAAAGCACACCACTAGGTAATTGGGTATACTGGTCGCTCGAAATTCTGTCTAGTCGGTTTCAAACAATATAATAACTTATTTGACACATAATTTACACGTTATCACTTATAACTTTAAGGCCTTTTATTATGTCATTATACTGCGAAATTTGCAGTAGGTATCAATTTGAAATTAAAAATGATAACAATGTTGTTTTAAGGAAATAATTTGTAGGACACTAACAGGCCACTGCCTAAATACTGATCCAAGTACATCTTTATTTTCATTAAATTAAATAGCACATTTTTAAATCAAATTTCAAAATAACGTACCGGCAACAACAACAAGTTAGATGACGTGCCAGCTTACAGAAACCAGTGAAGCAGTGTCGATATAAAACATACGGCCAACCATAAGCCGCTATAGATAGCCTTAAATAATGTAAAGCATCCTCCAAGTTCATCCAAGGCGGAGTTTCTGAGAAAATTTTATTAACATCTGTTGTGTAAATAGGCTCCTCATCATTGAGCATTTGAATTCGACGCATTTCTCTAGTTTCTCTCTTTTGTCTAACCCGGAGTAGTACGCAGCCAGCGACTACATCTGATGGCACAAGATCTGTTGACCTGAAGAGGGCGCTGAGGAGAGCTGAAATAGAAATGGTAAAACTTTAAAGTTGGCAAGTACTTATATCAACCATACACAAAGGAGAGATGTCATCATCTCACATTTGTGATGAACGCAAATGCTTATTACCTACGATCAAAATATTAAATCAAAGCAATTTAATTGATATTATTAAGTAGAGGAAATAATGCAAATTCATGCAAATTGCAACGGAATCAAGGGTAATAAGCAACCTATTTGAAAAATAGGGTGTGCCCTATCTAAGAAAGTTAGTTTATAAACATACTAAATAAAATTTATGTATCATTAAAAGAGTCTTAAATAATGTAAAACTGAGATGAAATAAGTGACTTTAAGGATAGCGGGGAACTAAAACTCACGCACATTAATTACACTGCAGTAAAACACATTATAATGAATAATTATCATGCGCTCTATATGAACATCCGTGTAACCCCAGACTATCTAAGTATAAATATCCTAGTTGCGGTAGTGGTGTAAAAAATGTTATCAGAATTGAACTAGAAAATATTACTAATATCGTAAATAATTAGTAACTTTTTTGGTTAATTAATTTTAGAGGCCATTGAGCTTATGCCTCATTATATAAACATCATGTGATTATGTGATGGCCGTGATATCCCTCATGCGTTGCCACTCTGGAGGACTAAGATGTCATGCCCCTACATCCAGTAATTTCACTACCACATTTTTCCCTTCAATCAGAACGCAGTTTATAAAGCAAACTGCTTAGCGGCGAAATAGAAGAGACAGAGATAGATACGCAGATAACTTTGTACACAGTCTTCCTTGATGAAAACTACTACTTTTATAGTATTTTATTGATTTAAAACTACCTAATCTTACCAGCGACCTGTTGAAAGGCTTCTTTTCCATGCTCATCCCGTTTTAACCAACAAAATGCCCAACGAAATCTTCTTGACCACAATCCTGTTACCTTCTTGTGATGTCGAACTTGATTAGGAGTGTCTTGCATGTCTCCATAACTTACTGACCCTAAGGGGTCAAATACCATGAATAATCCAAATATTGTGAGGGCTAATTGTACCCAATTAAAGAGCACGATACCTGAAATGTTTTGTATAATTATCTTCTTATACTTAATAATTAGTGCAAGGACTCCATAACATGAACGCATCCCTAGATATATGAAATTGTAATAACTAATTAAATTATTCATGTTATTTAAGTATTAATGGATAAAAAATTTAAGAAAAAATTAAACTCTCCCTATCATTTTGATTAGGAAGACGTTATTCAAAATGTATACCGGTATTTCTAAATATATGGTACATTCAAAGAGTATTCCTTAGTTTGCTTGAAGCGAAAACTGTTGTCTATGTCTGTAACATACGACCCAATTATAACATGAGAAATCAGAATAGACCTGCTTATTAAGTTTAATATCATACCCCGCTTTACATGTAAGTTTCAGAGTATGCAAGCGATCTAATTAGTGGCAGATGTCTGTGACTTCAGTACATCGGCAATAGGTAGACTATAAAATACTGATAGAAATCTAGGTTACGACCATATACTGTTTTCTCTGACATTAACAATAATATAAAAACTAAATATATAAGAATATAAAACAATAGCAATAATGGAGTATCAACTAAAACATGAAGCAACTAAAATTTAGGTGGCTAGCTACTCCTTGTCTGTAATGATCACTTATTATTATGATCGTAGTGTGGCAACCATCTTGCAATCGACACGGTTGACGTGCAGTGTAATAACAGTTTGATGACAGATTAGTAAACAGAGAGTAGTTAAATTGAAAACACGTTACGTGAGTATACAAAAATCGGTTAATGATTAATGCTCCAATTCAAACAGACCTCATTCGCTTCCTACATATTCATCAGCATCAGTCTATTCGCACAAGCTCGATAGCTACGAGTGAGTGCTTTATAACTGTACCGAGTCAAAACAAGCACAGTTTAACATTGTGTATATTTTGAATCGAATTCCACATACTAAAAGAAGTAACAACAATATTTTACGGAGATAAGAATAAATAAATCAAAACTATTAAAGTTTTCATTTATTTATGCTCATTCTGTTGTTTAGAATTTTATAGGAATCGTTCATATTTTTTAACATTCCGTGCCGTCTTACTAGTCCATGTAGAGACTATTTCTGTACTTACTCTGTATAACTATGCTAGAAAATCTATCAGTGACTGTACATTCAATTACATCGCAGAACATCCACATGCTTCCCATGCAGTTCAGAGCTATTTCTGGTAACACCAACAGTACTCTGCAACAATAGTTTTCAAATAACTAACTGTAACTTTTATTAATATACTTATTTATATAAGTTTACAGACTCATATCAAGTAAATTAAGGAAAAGTCTGTGACGTATTAACAATTAAAGAGATTGATGGAAATACCGTGGGAAGTAGCAAGAGATCCACTGACAAAAGCGCGGCTATTAAATTATGAATGAAAAAGTATAATAAAATTGTGAAATGTAATTTTTCATTAACTATCTTCAAAAAGGCTTGGAACATAATGACTCGGTATTGGTTTGGATCCGTTGCTAGCAGTTTTTTCTATTAACATTTACATGATTCCCTCTATAGGTTATTATGGTCAAATATTTGTGAATTCGCAATGATGGAATAGATGGATGGATGATGATCAAGTAATATGAAATCATCCTTCAAAAACTCCCTGTTAGTATAGTTAGCGTACTCTATCAGCGCAAGTTCGCTTATCCATCATCGTTCACAAAAGAAACAAATTAATTAATGAAATTAATTACATTTGGGTTCCCTCTTAGAAAAGTGATTAGGTAGGGTGGTTCAGACGCAATTAATAGCTAACGAAATAAAGGAATCATTTGAAATCAGTAATTTGTTAAGGAGTATTAGCGAGTCAATGAATAGGTATAGGAATATCGTTTTGTAAATATTATTTGAATGAGGGATTAATTATGAACTTTTAGATTTTACGAAATAGTTAAAAGACGAATCTGTACGTATATTTTTATAAAATGAATTTATACCTTCCTATGTTTTTTGTATTTTGTCTGTACACCTTACAATCAGAAAATGTTTTAATGGAGATTAATGAGTATGGCAAAGCTCCCCATAACATTTGTTGCATACCATGGATTCGTAAACAAAAAACTAATAAGCATAACCTATTATTGTCTTCAATACCATAAATGAAATTGGTTGAATTGGCAATTCCCATTAATTGGATTAAGTCTATAATATTTATTTTCACTCACTTGATAAGTACTAATGGTGAGACGAACTTCCTGGCGTCGATGTCTGTTATGGTCCCTCTAGCGGACTGTTGCGCCAGAGTAGCTAGCAGCAGCAACAGCACAGCTTGTAGGGCCAATGTGCCACATAAGTATAGCTGTACAAATGCTTTCCCAAGCCATCCATCTGATCGACATTGCCACATCACTGGATATAAGACTTCCACCACAAGTGCGATCAGGACCAACCTATGAACAATAATAATCACATTATGAACTAGCAGTTTTTTTCGACTTGGGAAAAATGGGCAACAAATTTATCCATATTATTTATAATAATAATAATCTTAGTACAATTCAAATGCGATCGCAAATACTTCTACTATACAAATTATTTCTTAAAAGTACAAATTCAGTGTAAGATTGAAGGTCATGAAGAAGTCACTATTTACTTCAGCGTTTATGCTCATTTACAGGAAGGTACAGAATCATACTTTTTCTCCAAATATTCTTGCGTAATATTTTGCATCTTAGAATAAACTAGTATACTTTTGTGATAGTCAACGTAATAAGGTTTGAGTCCGATTGTTTGTTTTATACAGCATCCTCCCTCTCAATAAAGAATAGTTGTTATTTTTATGATTATGGCCGAATATTTTTTCTACAGTGAATGGAATGGAATGGATATATGATATAGACATACAATATATATAAGTCAATACTTATAAAATTTTCATGGTTTATGATCAGCTCTAAAAATCATACAGACAGCTCGTTTTTTAATTACTTTACTTTCCCGCTCCATTTGTCGTATAATTTACATGTACCTGTATTGTCCCACATATAGATACGCAAAGTTTAAATTCCATCTGACGATAGCAAGTCCATGAAAATGGTAAAGGAATGGGCATATAAAAAAGCATATTAATTGTGCCAGCAATGTTCGAATCAGCAGACCTATTGTATATAAAATACTGTGACTTGTACACCATGCATAGTTACATGGTTTAACGAACTCATTAATACACTCTTTTTATTTGTAGTAACCTTGGCAATTTCAAGTTTGTATTCAATTTATTTACGGCAGCCCATCATCTTCCATAAAATCCACCGGTTCGTGGCACAGTATGGCGTATAGGTAATTTAATTATCTAAGAGCCGGTGAAAGCGACCCGCTGACGTAACGTTCACCTCTCGCGGTACCTATCCTCACGCCTTCGAGATCAAAGAAAACCATCCATTGAGTAGGTATTATTGAATGGACTCGGTGATCCGGTTAACCGTGTAACACCTACAAAAATATCTTAATAGGTACGCGCGCAAAGAGAAACATTAAAACTAATTATCCATGTAATGACTTTGTTTTGATGTGAAGTTCTGAATTCACTTATTACTTGTAAATATCTTGTAACTTGATTTTATTTAATAGTGATATCCGTATATATATTATTAATGCAAAAGTATGTCTGTTGGTCTATTTGTTATCTTTTCACGACTAAGTGGCTGAACGAATGACAATGAAATTTCACATAAAAATAGATTATATTCCAAGGATTCCCGTAGTGTATCTTTTATATAAAATAATAAAACGGAGTTTCTTCTTACATTAACTCTACGAGTATAAGTAGGTACAGTAGAGGTACGTATTGTTCAAGGTTTGGTAATATAATAAAAGCAATGTATTTCTATAAACCTATTTTTAAATGTAGATTTAGCAACGTATAATAAAATAGACGATGCTCGATATCACTTACCATACAAATCGGAATAGAAGTTCGAAGATGCTGGGGAACACGAGGTCGTCCGAGGCTGCTAGCCATTTTCGCCCCAGAAGCCGGAGTGCCGGCATCCTGAAACAATAAATTGTTATTAATTTTTTTTAAATAAATTTAACTGATCTTAAATAAATAAATAATAATACAGACTCAGACTATACTTTAAAAGAAATCGTCTACGTTATTACCTCAGTCTCACCTATAAAAAACATAAATTATATATTTATGTTTTTTATATATTATTTTTATAGTGTGCAAATATTTGTTTCCTTTCAAATTTTATAAGTATAAATAAAATGTTGTCAGATTATGTGCCGTTAAGTTTAATCAATAAGTTTGTTATGATATTGTTATTTGTATGTTATATATTTTCAAATCACTTCAAAATTTACGAGGTCCTCACGTGGAGGCATTATTTTGCTTAAATTCTGTGTTGATTTTATTTGTAATGAATAGAATTTGATCTGGTATTGTCGCTATATTAGTTTTCTGCTAGAATTGAGATTATTAGAACTCTTAAAGCTAATCTGATCTCAGCTCATGCTCTGAGCTAAGCCAAGTAGGTATGTATGTGTGTTATGGTGTTATTTCATTTTTAGAACATCGACAGATTTATTTTAATTAATTTTATCAAGTGCAGTGCTGTATTGCAATGTGTCCACCTATGTAATTATAATGTTATTTCATAGATTAGAATAATATTAAACTTATATAGGTTTAGATATAGATCATCACTAATTGAAGAAAAATAAATCTTACAAGAGAAATACATTCGATTACAAAAAAAAGTTTAGTATGTCCAAACTTTATCAGTTTTAATGTGTCATATAAAAACAATTACTCATTTAGCAAACTATTCAAGATCACGACTGCTGATTACACAATCTTAATTACATAATTACATATACCGGATATACCTACTCATATACTGCTCCAACTAGTGACTACCAGTATCGATATCTACTCATTTAAGTAGTACTCAATTATTGAAATCACTTTTCGTTACTACTAATATGTGTACCTCTAAAGTGTCGTTACTTATATATATGAATAGTTTTTCAATGTATTTTTTTGGATCTTCAAAGGTATATTTAGTTTGGGTAAATTTTCATTTCGATAGACTCTTCATTTGGTCATCAAGTATTAACCACTATCTGATTCGAGTCAAGTACTTTCAATTCAACAAAGAGTAAGTGTCGCAAGATCGATCCGATATCAAAAGTACTTGGTATCGAAACGATAGTATCGAGTATTTACTCGTATAGGAACATCCCTAGCTCCAAGTTCTCGTGCGTCGATCCCGGATCCTTTGGGGATGTTAATGCACAAACACCGTATTACACTCGCGTTACCCAAAGTACATAATACCTATTTAAATTCGGTCTCTGGGTTAATTATATTTAACGATGTGCTAATCAGTTTTTTGTTTTACATATTTTTTATAACGGGTCATTTACCGTGGTTATCTCAAATCCCGCTGTACGCTATATATCTGTGTATAATTGTAAGCAGACGAGATCAAAATTTTCTATATATACAGGCATGTTTTGGAACAAATTAGGTTATCCATAGGGAAAGACCGAGGTTAAATACGTTATGTGATGGTTTTGTTGTTAGAGAAGGTCATGGCCTAGTGGTTTACTACTCGACTTCGATCTTCTTGACTAACTCGAAGTTGTAGGAAATAATGATAGCAAACGAAAATAGTCTTCTCCAAAATAGTCTCCCTGGCATGTTTCACTCAATTTACTCTGCGAAATGTGAGCAGTGTCAGTGCTGAGTTCACCATAAAGTCGACATTTGACGCCATCTGGGATAACAGTCCTGAAGGTATATTGTTATGGTTTTGCGTTGTAAACTCGGCACATTTTTATATTATTTTTGTATACATTTTGAAAGTCTTTTCACTACTGTTACTGTTCGTACCTACATTATATAAGCATTTACTATTCTTTATCTGTTATTTCATTCATCTCACATATACAATCCACTCATCTATCATCCCTATATTTTAATACCAACCTACACCTTTGTTAAAAGAATGCAATACATATCCAATTGAATTGATATTAATTAGTCTGTTACAATTTATGTAAAAGTAATATACATAATGTGTGTAGTAGATTTAATATTCTTTCTTTTAAGTTGCTAAACCAATTTCTCTTTGACGTTATACAATATTTGTATTGTACTAAGAACAAAAAGGTTCGTAACAGATTTCGGCATTGCGTGTATCCACAAGTGTATGAGTACCACAGTACCATAACTCATAAGTGTCATAACGTACGAACAATATATTATTACTTTATTAATGTGTACGAAGCATATTGTAACTTGCTTTTTTATCTATACTAATATAATAAACGCGAATATCTGTCTATCTGTCTGTGCGTATGTTATCATTTTATAATTATAATTATATTAAATTACGGACCATAAACTTGACGATGATAGGATGACCGTAAAAGTTATCCTATCATCCTCCACTGATGGCCTACCAACATACAACAGATATCGCAAGCGGATGCACCATTTTATTATCATCCATTAAAAAAACACAGTTAGATTCATCATCATCATTTCAACTCGGAAGACGTCCACTGCTGAACAAGGGCCAGAAATCTCCACTACGATCGATGACAAGTTAGATTGCTGGCTGCAATTGTTGCAAATTCATATATAAAAATGTTATTCCAAATTTTATGAATATTAATATAATATAATTTTATGAAAGGATAATTTTGGCTTGTGTGTTAAATATAAAGTACATTCTGGCCGACCGCGCAAATACAAACCGCAGGCCGCGTGAATACCGCGGGCCATGCTTTGAGCTGCTCTGTTTTAAAGAACAATGAAAACCACAACAACCATTACGTACCAACATAGTTATGAAGATGGTTACTTTCTGATTGTTTACATATATATATTAAACGAATGTGTGTATATTGATAATCAACGCGAAAGTATGTTTGTCTGGTGTTTGCTACCTTTTCACAATAAAAGTGCTAAAAGAATCTTATGAAATTTGACGTGAAGATTTCTATGATAAAATCAGCAGAAGTCACAGAAACTACTAGGCGTTTATAACATATAAATATTTTAAAATTATGTACGATGATATAACAAAAGCTATGTTTATTCCATTCAATGCAAAATACTCGCTTTGATAGATTTTGATTTTTGTACCTAAATATATATATAATTTCGTATGTAAATAGTGAGTCTCGTTTGAGCTAATAGTGTGTACTGGAGTACTGATAAATGATTAAAGGATAATATGAAACATCTGAGTCTTTTTGTCCATCTTACTAAACGTCAATGTTGGTGGTGCATCTGGTGAGATAAAAAAGAACTAAAAGTGTCTAGAGGGAGTCACTAGATTGCCATTGGTGCCTTTAGCTGACGACCCACCTCATTGGAAGTTGCAACGCTTGGGGTATCGTTCATGAGATTCCAGAGAACTAAGATATCTTAAGCTTCCGTATGCTGTAATTTACAATCGGTGTTCCCTGTAAAATTTTACAAAGCAAGATACTTCTGCTGTATTTGGTGAGACTACGCCGATGACTTGATACGGAGACTACCTCGCCCATGAGGCGGAAGGGATTTGTTAGTAGTGGAAACTAGGGAACTCTAATGTCAACCATGTCAGGACCCCTACGAAATCCCCCCAGAGATTGATCATCCAGAACAATGACTTTGTTACTGTGGACTAACTGATCTGGCATCAAGATCATTCTTTTATACTTTACTACTATAGTTAATGCTTATGGGTAAACCGTTTCGTATTTACCTATTTAAAAATCTCCATTACGTCTATACTTAAGTTGTATTGGATAAAATATAATGACTACATATTCATTCGATGTGACGTAGATTATGTACATCTTGATCTCGATCTCTAAGATCTCGTCGGCCAGACATCCGTACCTATCTCTTCGAAATTGTTATTAGATACAATTATAGTACAATTTGAGGCATCACAATTGCAACCGTAAGAGCTGCAGTCTCACGATTGACGTCATCGGCGCAGGTCACTGGCCGACCACGTATGCATATACTAAGTTTTCGCTGAGGTGAAAGCACAATTTTAGTATAATATTTTTCAACACAGTATATCGCTAATTATAAATTGAATTAAGACAAACAAATTTAAACACCTACTTTAAAATAAAATCTCTAAAGCCTATTTCAAAAAAAAATATTTTGAAATAGACTTTAGAGACGCTATATATATATGCATTAATTAATAAACTGCGTTAATGCAGTTTATTATTAATTTGGTCCCTACTATTATGAAGTAAACTAAATTAAGTTTCCGCCTTAAATTTTAATGTGCCTTTTACATTATGTTAATGTCTAATTTTATTTCATTACTATATTGAACTGAATATACATATATACCCATGTGGAAATATAGACTAATATCAGCTACATTGTTTGATCATTAAAGAAATGGATGTTACAAAAGTAAAATAAAGTTGTCTTAAGTTTTATGAAAGGATAATTTGAAAACGCTGACGGTTTTTACATGTTCTGTTTTATTATTAAATAAATATTAATTAAAATTATACTCATACATTTGGAATATATTTAGTTCTATAATTATACTTATAATGAAACTCTTGGATTAGGTACTCGGTAAAATTACCACTAACGCTAATATTCCTATTCGGTAATTATAGGTGGTATCTTGTACGAATACAATCTAGAATTCAATATAATGTATAAGATTTTTAGTTATCTTTTGTCCTCATAAATATTATATCACCTAAATTTTGATGACTATTATTTTCTGACAAATTCAAATTACTGTCAGTATATCAGAACCTGTCCGTATGGTGGCGAGGTCACTGTGTATTTTAGTGCCCTCTGGCATTAATGTGGCTAATGGCTACTAAAGAAATAATATGACCAATGCAATACAAGAGATGTGAAAATCTGGAAAGAACCCCGTACCAAGCAGTGTGTTGAAAATACTTTATCATGATGATAATCATTTCTTAATCAAATTACCTACCCGCCCCGATTACGCATGGGTGTACACGTATTATAAATATAAAGCTTCCTCTTAA